GTCACATTTTAGATCAAAGAACTAATCATGATTGTTCAGGTCAGTTTTTTTGTACCCATTTGTGACTAGCTGTGAAGGTTTTCTTTTTTATAATTTACCAAAAAATCTCAGCTATCGATTGCGGTTGTTTGATTGACATATTTTCATTGTCTGGATAAGACAATACTAATGAAATCAAAGATAGTTCAGGGGGAGGTCAAGATTGTAAGTATGGTACATTGAAAAGGATTCATCTTCATCGTCTAAAGTTATGACTAATATAATGGGGTTGTCTAATGATTTGGACTTCAGCAGAGATTGTTTATATGTGAGAAAATGAAATTTAACTTTATGCAGTCGCTTCTTAAAGTTCCATAGAAGTTATACAAGTATTATTAAAATGGTCATGAAACTCGACCTAGATGAGTTGCAACTACATACGGTCTGTGATCACTACAAAAATATAATACTAATTTGTGTCTAAATTCAAATTGTTGCTTTTCATTCCAAACCTTGAATTAAAGAAAGACTTGCTTTAGTTACCCTTTTCAAACAAATAAATCACTTATTTGCATACTTTCAAATACTATTTCCTATACAACTATTTGGATAGAGCTCCTTTATGCCTTTTAGAGGATCTTAAGCGCAGAACCATGATTAGCCTATGAAACTCTTTGAAAGTACTTTCATGTCTTATATTAGCTTTTGACTCTATCCTCAAATTAATAAGTGATGTTGAAGCTTGACATGGAAATTCACAGTACTTGTTCATTCAAAGTTTAGCAGCCTTAGGTTCTATATCACACCACTTAATATACAGTGATAATATCTGTCAGATTGAAACTATTTCACATATATATTCACTCCCGACCTACATTTTTTACTTAGTGGTTGACAAGTTTAACGTAAATGACCATGATTTCGTTTTGTCGAGGACAATTTGGAAATTCCGGTAACGTCTTTGAATTAATTGGTTTACATAATATAGACTACTGGTACATAACATAACTCCCAGGTTGCGTGTGGGGAATATTTAGATCTCATTCTGTCCAGCTTAGAGTTTTGTTACTTCAGCTTGCTGCTCCATTATGTGTTAATATAAGGCTTATGTTGTGGTTTATTTTATTTTTTATTTTTTATTTTTTTTGGAAGGTCTTAGGTGCCAGGGGCTTGGGCTGGGAAATTTGAATGGATGGGATGGAGATAACTCAATCTTTTTCAACATCCACTCAATTTTTTTGTTCCATAATCAGACTTATGATAAAAGGTTCTTTGTATTATTTTTTGTTATGCATTGAACAGGTTCAAGGTTTTGCTCATGAATGTGACGATTCAGCCTCGACCATTGATACAATTTAGGAGCTTGACAATAAAACAAGTTCTTCAAAAGAGGAGTTGGGGCAGATGCTAACGTGCGTCTTGGTTGAGAACATGAGGTAAGTTGTTAATCTGTTGTAATCCAAATGTTTGCATGCTTGGTGATCCCCAACATGTTGAAGAGGTATACCACTTAATTCTCACATCGCCCAGTTGTAGCAAGTTGTAGCATATTGTTTGAAAGATCAGTACATGTTCGGAAGTGTTGTTTTGACTTAACAGTTGAATATTGAATGTGATATATGACTTAACGTTTGGGCGATACTGTCCCGAATATTAGCCGTTGAAGAGATATATCACTTCATCCTTGCTTATTGTTCATTGAGTTTGTTACCAATTTTTATGGTTTTGTGATGAATACTTATGTACATTGGGGTTGAATATGTGAAATTCTGATTGGCAGTGTTATGCTTGTTGAATTAATTTAGTTTGGATCATTTTCGGAGTTGTATATCACTTCACATAAGACATTCTTTTTTGAGTTCTTGTCATAAAAGGTTGTGATTTATCTTTAGGTTCAAAGTTGGTAGGGTTTGCCTCATTTTTCTCATTTTTTCTGTTCTATTTCCTGAGGATGAGATGCATTTTTACTCTTAACCACCTCTTATACCTTATTACAAGATTTAATCTCCATGTTTTTCTTTCTTCATCATTTTTTATTATATTTGCAACAGTTCCACGCTTTTAGATTCAAACTATAAATCTAATTGTAATATTCTTGTTTTTTTTTTATTCCATTTACTCTTTTGCAGCGAATCTAGATGTAGATGTGAAGAGTGAGTTCGGCACATAATATTATAAGTTCATTCAGAACATGTAAGTTATTCATAACACCTTATACCACCACCAACACATGAAATAGTCCATAAATGAACAATAATACATGGGGGTTCTATTGTATGCCAGCATATCCCATCCATATATCATGAACATGATTCATCTAGTAATGTGTAAGATCTGTGAGCCTTTTAGTAAATATCAACAGGTTGGAGGGAGAGATTCCTGCCATGGCTTCCACTATGGAGCAACAACATAAGGACACTACGGATCAGGTTATGTATTGAGTTTTTTTCTTGAAAATTAGGTGTGTTTAAGTTAACTCAAGGTGAATGTATTTCTTCGGTAAAATTTGAACAGTGGTAATGCTGTTAATGATAATCAGAATCAGATTCTACTCAATTTGGACCTAACAGTACTTTTATTGCCTTTATATTTAAGCAATTATTAATTGTCATGCCAACTATTGTAATATACAGTTCTGATTAACAAAATGATGGTAAAATTGATTTTTTTTTTTTTTTGTTTNTTTTTTTTTTTTTTTTGCAACTACCCTGTGGCAGTTGTGTAGGCAGACTTCAATCTTTGTATAACCATTTTGTGCATTAGATAGATAGACTAGATTTGTCCAATTACCATTACATACATTTGAATCTAAACTTGCTACTAGATTTGTCAATCAATTATTTTCACCAAAAAAGATTTTTACAAATAGAGGTATATGAATTTGGATATAACTTAAAAAAATTATTTTAACAGACTCTTCGTCCAAATTGTGTAGGTATTGAAAAGGTTGGATCGAAATCGCCTTAATGGAGCTTTTGATTCAGCCCGACGCTGTTTGAGAGTAGTCCGGGAGGCACAAATGACGACCAACACCTTTGAGAAGGCTTGGCGTGCTGCAGCCATCCACACAAGGATTTTAAACTAAATTTGAGTCGGTCGTGCGTGCACGGCCGTAAGGAGTACATTACTTAATGAGTGGCGGATAATAGCAATAATATGAGAAAGGATCTTGAAACAATGTCAATTGAACATGCATAATATATGTGAACAGCTGCAACAAACGCCAAAATATTAGCTGCAACAGGTGATGATAAATTTTCAATGTATTTTTAGACCGAATTTAAGTCCGCCGTGCGTAACCCAACTAGTATAACTAATTTGAATTTCTTTATTTTGTTTGAGACAAGTTGTGAAAATAGAGACTATTTGTTTACAGTGAAAGAATGTTGTGACGAAGTAGCAAAGGCGAGCAAAAAGCAGGTTTCAGACAGAGAATGGCAATTGTGATGCTACTTCGACCGAACTTTGGGAAATCCTAATTGGCAGTTCGGTCAATCCTAATTGGCATCCAGTCAGTTGGCTACTGGAGTTTAAAAAAGTGATCTTAGATAGTGGCTCAAAGGTAGCTCTTAATCTTATACTATCAAAATAAAGATGATTTAAATTTTGGATGGTTAGACATAAATTTACCGATTTAGAAAGTTGTATTTACGAAAATTTTATTGACATTTTTTTTACTATTTAAGACACTTATTGCATAGTGTAAGTACAACAATACTTTTTGTATAGTCTAAGTAGGTATAGGAACTTGTAAAGATGAGAAATTTTATGGACATTCCCCTGTAGAGAGCAGAGCCGGTCCTTAATATTATGAGGCCCTAGGCAAAAACAAAAATAATGCCTCGAACTCTCTCATTATTTAAAAGATACTTTTACGAGCTATTGCATTTTCAATAAAAAAATTTAGATATTCGAATGACCATCAAGCGAAGAAGAAAAATAGTTAAACGAGGGATCAAGGGAAAAGAGGCACTAAATGCAACAAATGAATTATTTTCCAAATGCGATCAATGATTGGAGGTCTCGAGTTTTTTTCACCCTTAAATTAGAGGCATAGTTCATCATACTTATAATAATTTTAGATAGTTGGTTTTGGAAATTTGAAATTATGCGAATTAACTAGAACCAATTGATTTATAAGTTATCATGTATTAAACATAAAAATAATATTAAAAAGGGAAAAAAATACAAAAATATAAGTAATAATCTGCATGATTCTCAATTTAAATTAAAAACATATGTTCTAAAAACATTACAACACTAAATGAATTCCTAAACGACTTAATTTAAAAAATTTCATATGTTTTTTTTTGAAGTATTAAACACATCTTAGGATTAACAAGTTCAAAACTTAGGTTTTTAGTAGTCATAAAGTGGGTAAGAACATTGAATCAACTATCAGTCGACAGGTGGTACGGACCGGGAAAATGCAATAACGGTCTCACGTTATTCTGCGATGCGGCGGTCCATGATTCGAGAATCGGATTAGGCGGGTGGATAGGCGACTCGGAAGGAGTGTGTTGGGCTGCTTTTACAACTCATATTTCAGGCTCTTTCTCATCAATTACAGCCGAAGCCCTATCCCACAGGTTCGGCCTCCGTTTTGCGCTTGATGTAGGATTCTCGATTCAATATGCCAAGACAGACGCCTTGGCGGTTGTTTGTGGTCTGTTAAATATGTTGCCAAACGATCCTTTGCATCATATTTTTGCGGACATATTATCGCTTTTGTTTCTTTTAGACTGTGGGTCTTATTGTTATATCGGTGATGTAGAGGTTGCATCACCAATTAATTTTTGAGATAAAACTTCGCTAAAGTACTCATCAGCTCACACACACCTAAGCTCACATGATACCCGTTTCCCAACACATAACCAAGACATGATGGGATATATAACAGTAAAATAAATTGGTGATGTACTAGAGAGGTTTCAAGTTGCAACATAAGCACACATGCTATATGAAAAGGATACAACAAAATTACAGTAATCCACATTAAACAAGCAAACTAAAGAAATGACCACAGATTATCCATTCACATACTTAATACACAAACATCTCAAAAGTACATATACCTTGCACCTAGAAAAACAACATTAATACAGACATAATTCTAACTAGTTAATTACTTAGTTTTATTTAAGGTTTTTTTTTATCCAGATGTTTCCTTTCCGGATTTGAAATACAAAGCCGCTGCAGGTAGGCCGAGCTTGTTCTCCTTAGCAAACTGCCTCGTGTTGAATCTTTCCCTCTCGACCGGTCGCTTGACCACTGTCTCCGTTACGGTGTGCTGTCTGAAAGCAGCAAACACATAACGGTGGGTGCCGATCGGCGGCTGTGGGCCCATGTACGGCATTAGCTCCTTGCCTGCAATGTTTTTTTTTTTTTCCCAATAATCAATTGCCAAATGCAATAATAGCTAGTAGAGTATAGTAGGTAATTAACATAATTGTTAATTAATTGTCCTAATTAGTTAATTAATTACCCTCACTTGCATCCGAACCCCCAGGAATATCTATCACCAGCCTGCACGCGATAATTAAATTTAATTAATAATTACTATATATCACAAATATTTAGTGAAATATTGGAGGATTTCTGTTATTAATTTCTACAGCACCTAATTAATAATTACAAACCTTTAACATTATGCCATTGTAATTAACACGTACAACATGTATTAGGATTTTTGTTACTATAATTTATTTTTTAATAAATTTACCAATGAAGCCACTCCCTGAGAGTTGGTTTGGTTGGACTAGGAGCATCAGGGTCAACCATCACCTAACCATATATATATCCACAAAATTTAGTCAATTAATTTTGTAATTATGCTGACCAAAAGTATTCAATTGTGCATATATAATTATATATATTTACTTACAAGGGTGTAGTAATCAGTGGCAGGCCCCCTGATGAGGAGCCTTGGCGGCTGAGCCGCGGCTGACGGCTTAATCTCAAAGCCGTTGTCAATACTTTTGCCGCCATAATCAACGGTGAGCTCAGCCGCCGGAATAAACATGTCGAGCACATCTCCGATCACTCTCCCTACCACTAGGGGATCCAGCGCCGCCCTAGGCATCTTATCCATATATAATGTAATATTAATTAAAATATAATTATATGTGGCAAAGATTTAAATTTAATTTAATGCTATTGAACTGAAATTTAATGAATACCAAACGTGGATTACATATATATAGCACACAAGTACTTTGTTAAAGATCAAAGGTAAATGTGACACGTAGCAAAAGTATGCTGACGATTGGCACGTTGGTGCCAGGTGGCGCAACACATGTCGCGGTCCCAGCTCACTAATTGTGTCTTTGGCAAACTCTATCGCATTATTTTGTTTTATTATCCTACTGGTCAGTTTTGCTATGGAGTCATCGGATGGCTCATGGAGCCATCCACACTTATTCACCAATAATGTATTGACAAGTGTCTTTTAATAAATACACTTTGGACAGGTGTCAATACATTAAGTGGTGGATGGCTCCATAAAAAAACCATCCGATGACTCCATAAAATTTTTGTCCTACTAGTACAATATCTATGNTATTAAATAATAATAAAGACAAAAATTATTTTAGATTTTATATACTTTTTGAAAAAATATATTATATAAAATATTTAAAATGACATCATAACTTATACGACTTACCATCTTATATTATATTTTTTTATTTAAATCAGATAACTACTTGTAGTTAACTTAATTTAAATAATTTTATTTTTTGGATTAATATTAATAATTAATTTATTTTTAATTTTAAAGATAAATAAGGTCGTGCAGAAGAAAGCGGTTGAGACGTTGGAGCACGAAGATGCTGCTCAACTTGCTAGCGAAAGGTCCTTTCTTTTTTCTTCGACAGGTCCTTTGTTCGTTGAGGCCTATTGCCAAGAGGTTGTCAACAATTTTGTCAACTCACCCGCGTTCTTGGAAAAGATTACTTCTGCTGTTGCCCACTATTTCCATGTAGCCTTTCACGCTGCCGAGGCCTAGCTAATCCAACCCGACTTTGCTGGAAAGTTTGACAAGGAGCTTGCGCAAGAAGGCCTACCGCTCCCTGATGGTTATGAAGGTGACCCTAAACTTCCACACGACCATCCTTGGTGGGTCGGCCTTGTATATGAAGCGATATCAAAGGAGGGGCTATCATATCAACTGGATATTCTTCTTTACCCGCTTGTTGGCAATGTGGAGCTTGTAGGGGTTAGCGAGGCCGACCTACCCCTTAACCGCGATGGAATTGTTAGCCAGTAATTGTTTTTGTAAATTTGTAAGGTCGTAAGACCAAATACTTATTCTCTCGGTTTTTGTGAGGTCGTGTTGACCTTTTAACTTGAATTGCTTTTATGAATGGTCTTGTAACTCGCTTTCTTGATGGATGTTTAACTTGTGTTATTAAGAACATTGAATGCAAAACCATTGTGTGTAGCACCTATCCTTTTCATTCTTTGCATTTTTCTAGCTTATCTTTACCAGATGGAAATTGACATTTCCTTCAATACTTTCAGTTTCCATATTTGCAACATAAAGGAAAAGAATCCCCCTATGGGAACACGGTTAAATTAGAACAAGAAGCCACTTTTGTTCCATGGAAACACGGGCATATAAGAACAAGAAGCCACTTTTATTAGAGGATTTATACTAATTCAAAGCGTTTGAAATGTTTTTTTTTTTTCTTTGGGCGGCCGAGCAAAGAAAGTGAAAGGTTACAAAAGAGGCAAAAAAACTTTTTGTTTTCAAAATTGTCGGTTTACAACGCTAGCCGTACAATATATTGTGCCCGCTCAGCTTTTGACACCTTGTCTATACAATTTAATCACACTACTATCTTCACCTAATTAATTTTATCATGGTACAAAACCACAAAGTCTATGCATAATTTCAGCTACTGTTCATTTGTAGTATATATCCTCATTATTTTAGTGTATTTGATTAATTAGTATCTTTTGTAGTTTAAACATAATATGAGCCCGTGATCGAATTAAAGCCAAAATTGGGTGCTTTTTTTTGGCTTGTGTAGTTGTGTATCAGGTAGTGGTCGACACATTGAGGGACAAAGTTGGTATTTAGGTATTAATGACGTATTTGTGACGCACAAATGACATATATGTTCGATGAAATCTAATGGGTCCCAATTATGACTTGTGGGTTGTCCTTTTTAACACTTTATCTTACGATCGTACGATGGTGTCTGTTCCAACGCAAGAGTTGGTGATCATTAATTAACTTTAAGATTAAAATCAGATAAGACTTGGATTTGATTATAATTAAGTTATCATTATAGGGTCACAATATATTTAGTTTATTTATTTCTAAAATTGTAGCTCTTATGACCTCTGAATATTGGACATTCTTATCTCTAGGTGTAAGGTTATATAGTTGTACAATTATAGTTGTTAATCAAAACAAAGTTCGAAAATAAATATTTTTATATAATTTTCTAATGCTCGACTCACCAAGACTCGAGTTCGGCTTGTTAATATTTATAAACAAGCCGATCTCGAACTTGTTTAGCTAATAAGTTGAGCTCGGATAAGTTCAAGCTCGCTGGAGCTTGGCTTGTTTACATCTATATGAACAATACATCTATTTTCTCCTCTTTAGAAAGTTGAAAAGTAAAATACCCAAAAAATCATGATTCATCACGTGCTTGCTCTTTTTTTTATATGTAAAAGACAATATTTAGTTTTTTCTAGTGCTTGATAATAATCTTGTGTGAAATATGACAAATTTTATAACGTATTGAAGAAAAACAAACAAAAAGAAAATCATGATGATTTGTATTTTATGTTTGTCAAAAAGTCGCGGATCAATAGTCCAATGTCTGTAGTTTTTATCATGAAAACATAAATAAACCTAATAATACACAAATATATGATATGATTTTATGAAAAAACTCATGTGATTGTAACGGGGAAAAACAAAAAAAGGAAACAAAAATTTTGAACTTGAACTAATATATATATTTTTAGAGCATGGAAAAATAGTTATATTGACTACTGTCTTTGTGTGTCGAGCAAAGTACAGCCTTTTTTCACGTAATTGGGCAATAATTGCATCAATGTCAAATGGATTAATGAGAGAAATGAGTGACCCTACCGACAATGTCAATTACCGCTTTTATCTCTTAAATTTAATAATATTAGCAGTGTTTCAATGTGTTAGGAAATATTTAATTTCCTAGGTATACTTTAATTATGGACAACATATTATATACAATTATATTAGTTATTCAATTAATTAATGGACTCAATTAAGAGCATGATTGGATATAAATTTGTTTTTGTTTTGATTGGATTTTTGATTTGGGTTGGTTAAATTTGAAAACGTAGGTATGGTTAGTTGTTAGTGGATATAATAAAATAATATTTAAAATAAAATGATTAAAATTAAATTGATGTAAAAGTAAGAGAGAGAAGATATGATGTGATAGTAGTTAAATTTATGTGAGTAGATGAATAGTGAATTAAGGTTGATGTTGTGTGTAAGAATGATTGATTGATATTATTTAATTATATTGATAATATTAATGATAGTGGGTTGAGTTAAAGTTGAGTTAAAAAAAGTGGTTGAGTTAAAAATGAAAAAAAAAAATTGGATTGAACTTGTATCCAATCATGCTCTAAGTGATCTAAATAAAGTAGAGTTCATGGGTACATAAATTGATATGGGCTGATGGGTGGATACCTAATATTATTAGGGTTAGGTGATAATGGGTGACCTACTCTAGTAGTATATAAAGACCCTCTTGGTTATGGTCCCAATACACTAAATCAAACATGATTCTCTTTTCTCTCCATCTGAATTGAGAATGACGGTCCCATATGAAGAATAAAGCGATTTAGTTGAGGTAGGCCATAAAACTGACCCCGATAAAGATGAAGTGTTCGTGATCTAGATCGTGTTCATGTCAACATTCATAGAGATGCGATCCGAAAATTGATGATAAGGTATTCCGCATCTAGACATAATCTCAATTGGATCAGGTATTTCTTATAATCCTTATGATCTATAATCTAGCGCGATGTTGATTTCCTAGAATTAAAGCATGTTCTAAGATAATTGTAATTGAATTTATATTATTTGATTATAAATTCCTACACAATGCTCATGTATAATAGAAGTATTTGATATTCTTCATTCGTAAAAATTAAATATATATATATATATATATACATATATATATGTTTAACTTTTAAATTCTTTTTAAAAAATGCAAAATTTTACTTTATTTTAATGACATAGTGTAAGGCCTTTTCATCCTATATTTTAATAATTTTTGGAACTGATAAGATTGATAGAAAAAATTATGTACTAAATAAATAATAATTTTATTATTTTTTAATTAGAATTTTTAAATAATTTATAATTAAGCAAAATATATTTATAATTTAGTTTAACGGAATTTTATAATTTAAAAAGTTTTATTAAAATGTATGAAAGTACAATTTAAATAAACTCTAAAACCATGTATAAAAAAACTCACACTGAATCAAAAGTAAATTATGTATTTATAAATTATATGTAAATATTGATCTTTTGAATTATTTCAATTATCACCCATACAAATCTAAGGTAATACTAGTGATTCAACTACTACCCGTACAAATCCAAGGTAATATTAGTGATCCCCTAAGGCCCTAACCATATATCAAATAAATGATCATTTTATTTACTTGTTAATTTATTTATTTATTTAATTTTTTGTCATTTCATATCCTAAAATTAATCGAAAACCTCCTCAAATATAAAAGATCCGGTCAGCAACCGGGTTAAGCCGTAACCCGTCGTTCACCCGGATTAGTAGGGCCCAACCCGCCAAGTTGTTGGCACCACGTGTCCCTTCCATGACGAAACCGAGAGGTTGACGCACACGGCTCATTAATTGCATGGGGAGGACAAAAAAGATAAGAAATAGCACAAGAGCCACGCCATGCTTTCCAACTAAGTTAAATCGCGACACCTCACAAGTGGTCCCCACTCTGTAGTCAAAATCGCTACTTAATTAGGACAACCATTCAACAGTTTTGAGTTTTGTAATTAATTAGATTATATTATTAATTTATTAATAAAATAAGGGTTGCACCAGACGTGGCCACCTTTTCCGCCCCGGAATATTCCAATCTATATATTGGTAATTAAAATAAAATTGTAACAGTTGGATTAATAATTAATATATATTCAATGTGTAATCTAACGAAAGTGTGAAATCAAGTACAATATATAGCTCTTTGATGTAGTAAATAGTACACAAATTTTACCCATTGGATAGTTAATTAACAAGGCGAAAGTAGAATTAATAGTGAGTCGGATGGGAAATTTAATTCAGAAAAAATGAATATGTTAATTTATTCAATTAAAAAATTGTTTTGATGTATGATAATTTTGGTTCCCCTTTCTGTAGCCATACATATATGTCTCCTTTAATATTAAGGAGAGTATCTTGTTTTATTGTGTGATAGTGCCATGCTACACAATATTTTGAATTATTTATGCATAATTTCTATATTTGTTCGGGTATTGTGGGTTCCAATTTCGTGTTTAAATGAGTGTACGTATAATTTTGTATAGATACGGTGAGACTGTGATGTGACTATGACTCAATATTCATGCACATATGATTAATAATTAACCTTTTTCCATGCAAGATTTTGTTGCTAAGTAATGTTGATCTTACTTATATTGACTGATTCCATAGATAGTGAGCATAGTGAATGAAACTCAAGCGAGTACGAAAGCTTTCGAATAAGCTGCCTAATAATTAGGCAATAAGTATATTATTCCAATAAAGTTGTGTTTGGTAAGCACTATAATTAAACTTATAGTTTATTTAGTTAGCTTATGACATTTATATTTACAAATAAGCTTGGTTTAGTAGAAAGTTTTTTTTGGAAAACTCAAACTTATCTAATAAGTTTTTTTAAGTAGCTTTTCAAATAAAGCGGTTGAAATTTTTATTCATCTATTTTATCAGTTAATTTTATCAAACACTTTTATCAATTCAATTAGGTTTCAATCCATAAACCATAAAATATCAACTAGAAGCTCAAAATTCACTTGCAGCCATAAACCATAAACTATAAGCTGTAAGCTCATAATTCAATTATAAGCTATCAACTAGTAATTATCAGCTTGAACATAATTTAAGTATACTTGTATATATGTAAGAAAGTATACTAATGTTAGGTAAAAGACGAAAAAACACAATCAACTTCAACTAATTATTATTTCAAAAGTAAATTAATTACATATGTATCTTCAAGTACATGGGGCATAAGAGCTTTTTTTAAAAAAAAAGGCAAATGATTAAACCGATCATATAAAATCATTGACATCTAAAATCTCCGGAATCTCAAACTTTAACATGTTACAGCAGTAACTCTCCTTTTCATCTTCGGTCATATTATTACTATTGTTATAATAACCCGAGCTCGACTCGTGTAGCGGTGTCGGGCTTGAGGATGGTGTCGACAGGCTCGATAAAACCGACTGAAACCCAAAACTATTGCTGCCGTTGGAATGAAACGACGTGTCCGGGCCCACAACGGACCCATCCGACCCATAATACCCGCAGCCCGACCCGCCTTCGGCCCGTTGCCAATCACTAGTTGGGCCCGGCCCAAACCCATTGAGACTCTGGGAAATCTGCTCGATATCGTTTTCGAATAATAGGGAATTACTACTTGCGGTAGGGGGAACGGTCAAGTCTTGAGCTGGGGTAATTTGGGCGGTTTGGAAATTTTGGGGGAAAGGTGAGGGGATTTGGGAATTATCGACAATTAGGTGGGGATGATGGAGATTATTATTATTGTTATTATTATTATTATCAGTGTTGAAGAGAAATTCGAGTGACGTGGCGAGGCGTAATAGGTCGGGGGTTATAAAGGGCTGTAGCCCTAGCAGCCTGGAGAAGTTGATGTGGGATTGTGAGGTTTGGTCCAAAGATGAGTTTTTGAAGAGTGTGGAGAGGTCCAGGAGATCTAATCGTGGGCTGTGGGTCACTGGATCAATACCCATTCGTAGGAGCTTTTTTCGAATGTGCGTGTTCCAATAGTTCTTGATCTCGTTGTCGGTTCTGCCGGGAAGTCGGGCAGCTATTGCAGACCACCTTTTTTTTTAGAAAAAAATAATTAAAGTTAAAATTAGAAATTATTTTGGACTCAAAAAACGTTTTTTTTGTAGAAAGCACAAAAGTTCTTTGAGAAAAATGATTTTTTGTTTTTTATGTCTAGTAATTTTCTGCAGTTTAAGTCAAAAACGAAAGTAACTTTTTTTTTTTTGTGACAAAAAAGACAAATTCTTGAGAGAATATGAAGTTTTTCGACCAGTAATTTTCAGCAATAAGTCAAAAATTAAAAACAAACTTTTTTTAACAACGCACACTTACTTTTGCTAAAAAGTGAAATTTTTTTCTCAAGTAATCTTGCTAAAATTGATCCGCTATCAACATCGAGTATCAATTGTGTTCAAAAGTAATTTCTGTTCACAATTTTGTCCGATTTGGACCAAAATTGTTAAAAAAAAAATATTAATAGTTGGATTAAAATTGATATCTTTAGGAAGTTAATGGACTGTTAATATTGTAAATTTCACAAAAAGTAACTAATAATTCAAACAACTAAAATTACTTACTTGTTGCCAAGGACACTGTGAAGCTGAATAATAGTCTCTTCTTCTTCAAATGAAAATTTTCCTCGCTTAATATCAGGCCTCAGATAATTTGTCCACCTCAAGCGGCAACTTTTAAAGAAGAAAAAAAAAAGATGTGATTATTGTACTTTTGCCCTTAAGTTTTTAACAGGGCCATGGTTGTATGTGTGTATATATATATATAGGTGGGGATGAGAAGTTATTGAAGTCAACAAAAAGTTAAAGTCAAAATGATACGGTGCCGTCCCTGTTAACTCACATAGCCTACGTGTCCCTAAATCCTTGGAGAAAAATCGTGAGTTTCATCAATTAGTGTACATTAATCTCGTGTTTATACGTGTGTAGGCTCGTTTTTAGTTTATTGTTAGTTACCCCTACCCTTTGTACGTAAAAATTTATACTTAATTGGTCATGGAAGTGTACGGTATATGCTACGTGGAAGGGTGGAAGTGTGTTTTAATTTTGAAGAAAATTAACGCGCTTTGAAGTTTGTGAGCATGTGAAATTACGAAATTTCACATTTCAGAGTAGAATTTTATAATTAATAAGTTAATACTTGGTTCAGAAAATTATGGATTTATACAAACCGCCATAAATAAATTATGAGCCAAATTAACGTAGAACTCAATGATATAATATTTTAAAATTAATTTCTAACGGATATTTTGATATTATAACATACAAATTCCAATAGAGATCATTAACACTAAATTTTTTTGTTAGAACTATTTTTTTTAATTCTAGTTGAAAGTTGATGATTTCAATAATAATTATTAATAGTTGTTATTGTAGAAAATTTCATCTGAATATGAAATTTTCATTTGAATTATTTCCTCCATTGATAATAACAACAATGAAAAATCCGACTATCTAACAAAATCAACTAGAAATTGTAACAAAATATTTTTAAAGAAATTTCTGTTTGAATTTTTTATGATAGTTATAAGTTATATAACATTAGAAATTTTTGTTGCAAAATTGTGGTGAAATATGTTACATTAAAATTTAATATTTGTTTTATAGTGGAGGGATTTCAATTCAAGGATGTTTCTATATAAAAATTATATATTTTTTTAAAAAATACTATATACCAACAACTTTATAATTTATGTCGTAAGCTTCTAAACTTGGACCCTTGCAACTTAATAAATAATTAATTAAAATAATTTAAGTTTATATATATATTTATAAACATGCGGACATGCTTTATGTTTTGACTTTTGACACGCAGTACTTGCCGTTTACTGTATAGGTGAGCCAACATGAAGAAATCGCAGCCACGTGTCCTCCAGTTTCCGAGCCAATTTCATCTTGCATGGCTTGGAATTAAAGCCGGCTTCATCGCGCCATATGGCTGCTCAATTCCAACTTCCAAATGTCAAATGACAATTCAGTACACGCCGTGATGAATACAATCCGGGTCACCTGATTTTAGACTAGAGTATGGACTTTATAAATTTAATACTTAACCTTTCAAAATTTTGTCTTACTTATTTACCTAATTAATTCATTTGTTAGAAGAACAATTTTCTTTTTTTAATCAATATAACTTCTCAAGAATAAGTGCAGGACGAGGTACTGAACATACAGCGTTGAACGCTGTATGTTCAGTACCTCATGAACGCAACGCTGTATGTTCAGTACCTCGTCCTGCTTGAATTGATGAACACTTTCAAGTAGGACGAGGTACTGAACATATAGCGTTGCGTTCACACTTGAATTGATTAATTACGGTACCGTCCTACTTGCAGACAAATTTTAATAGCTTAATGTAAACATAATATAAAAACTATTGTTTGTAGTTTTTCTTTATTAATTACTTTCAAATACTCTCTAATATGACATATTAGTGTTGAGTTAAAAATGTTATCATAAGTCANAAATCAAGAACTATAAATTTGTTTAATGCAGAATTAAGCCTGAAAATACATATTTTTTAAGATTGAATTTTATGATACCAAATTGTGAATAGTTTAAGGTTGAATTAAAATTTATGAATTTTAATATTATCAAAATTTAGCAATTAACCAAAAAATACTATAAAAGAAACTTACAACGTATACATACATAAATTAGTAATAATTCGCATAGAGATAAATTGGCAAAAGCTTCTACACATACTAAAGTTCTCGTATTAATTTGAGGTATGAGTTTATGACCAATTATGATCCATGTACATGTTATATGTTTATGAACAGTAAAGGGTGTTGTTTAAGCAGACTCAAATGATTTAGTATGACATTACATAATATAAATATATATTTTTTTATTAACAAAATATATGTTTTTTTAAAATATTTATAATGAGTTAACTCCTCTAAAGAGAATAGTGACTTATCATGTAAGAAAAAATGGCATCATTATTATTCATTAGTCANAATAACATGGTCAAATATTTAAACCAAGGAAAATTATTTGAATCAAAGTGCCTTGAGCCTCTTGATCTCCTTGACATCTGATCCTGCTATCGTCTATTCTTTTATAAAGAAAGATGGCTTATATTTCCTCCTAAGGCTTGGTGAGCTAGGTTTTGTTATGCAATTTCAAACAAATCTGTGCAATCATTAATTTGCTGTCAAGCATATATATGCGTAGTGAATAAAATTCAATTTTATTGACTTCTAAAAATATAACTGCAGATCCATCCAAATTAAGAAATGGGCCTTTAATAATTCAAGTCGATTATCAATGATTAACTATCACTATAATGCTATAGCCGGTCTATGGCCCATATCCTAAAACCAATTGACCAATTTTTTTAGTTTGAATTAAATTTCCAAATTACAGCTGAAAAGAGAAAATTTTCCTTTCAAAAGTAAAAATGTTTGAAATTGCTCAATAAATCCAACTCATTCGTTTTTAATGGATTAACTTTACTGTTTTTAGTAAACCTACACTGTCAAGATGAGATGAGCCGAGTCGAACTTTATATAGCCAAACCGGTAAATAAGCATGATCTCGGTTCGTTTATTATTATTAAAGCGAGCTAAAATAGTAACGAACCAAACTCTAGCGTTCACCAATTATAAACTCGAGTCGAGCTATAGAAAATTATATAAAATTTTTATTGTTTGAGCTTTAATGAATAAGACTCCACTCGTTAATTAATCGAATTCGAACTCGGCTTGTTTATCACGCAAGTTAAGTAGAACTTGGGCCTTAACGAATTGGGACTAGCTGACGAGCGGCTCCGTTTAACTGATATACCTATTTGGTTTTGCATAATTTCCAAAAATAATTATACTACAAGATATGAATTCCAACTCAATTATTTCATCAAATAAATTTAAAATTAGAAAGGACCCATGGTTAATTGAATATTAATGCATGTCTCACCACCTCACACGTGGCAGTCATATGTATATAGTGGTCCCTGCTTTGAGAAAAATAAAGCAATATTATTACTGTAAATAAATGAAAGCCACTCCATCTTTTGGACTTCATTAATTACATCTCATTTCCAATTTATCAGTAGTGTGTTGTCAGCTGTGTGGACAGGACGCGCGTTCGTATTATTAATCTACAAATTAGCTTAATTAATTTAATTAATTGAAATATAGTAATTGAAAAACGTTGAATTTCGTGTGTGCATATCCTCTTTAACGTCCACCTTTGTCACTAACAGCCCACTTAAGGCGCTTAATTTTAGGTTTAGGTCAAACATTATTATATTTTACAGAGGCACGCATATCCATGCATTAATTTTATTTTAATTTTTGGATTATTAAAAAATATTAGCCTTCTATTGTTCATTTTGACGAATTGCATGAATCCATGAGCACACCACAGCAAGCAAGACTTAGCTTGTGCGCCCTTCTCTTTTGTTTAAAAAATTGGAGGAAGAGAAGAAGAAAGATGAGACCAAATTTCTTCCAAAATATTATAAAATTATCAATTAAGCATCCCTAAAAGACTGTCAAATCTCGTTAGCAAACTTAGAATTGAATACCTTTGTTTATAGATCATGTGCGAAGAAAATCCTTTGATAATTATAGGTGTAAAAGTTGCAAAAATTCGGTAAAGCAAGCGGATTGAATAAATGTATTTACATTATTTTATTTATTTTATTAAGATACGTATCCATACATCTTATATGTTGTTTTGATAATTTGGACTTTATCATCAATCGATCCCTCACTCCTCACGCTTGTTGTTAGAGCATCTCCAATGCAATTTTTGACATTATAAAAAGTCATCCATATCATCAACTTTTGAAAGTGTATCTTTATTTTTTTCTCCAATACATCTTGTCATGAACTCTTTCATTTGGATGTCATTTAATGTTGACAATGTTGAGCACACTTTCTAATATCCAACACCATGTTAAACATGATGACTCATCAATTTACTTTATATTTGTTTTAGTTTTTTATTTTTTTTATATCAATGAATTATCCACCTATACAAATAACTTCTTATCAAATTGATGCATTGAAGATACTAGTTTCATTGAAATTTTTAGTCTTTTAATATTATTCCAATTTAGATTAACATTACAATCACTAATTGACATGTGTTAAAAATAATGGTCTTTCACACTTATAGCATTGGAGATGCTCTTAGTCATTGAGATCTTTTGTCCATTTTCATGTTAGATTGCATATCTCACGCTTGTCGTTAGTCATTGAGATCTTTTGTCCACTTTCATGTTAGATTGCATATTTTTCATTTTATTGGATACTTAATATTCTCTAGTTACAAAATTAAAATACAACAATTTCTAGAAAATTCTGTGTACTAGAATTAGTAATTTCTAGTCCAATTTCTAAATTAGTTGGATTAGTTACCAAAAAAGCTGCTATATATTGTTCCAATGTTGACCACAAACACACATAATTTAGGTAAAAACTTGTTGTCTATTCTCTCAACAAACCTTTCATTATTTATCTTAATTTAAACATAATCATTAGTTTTTTTTTAAAAGCAATTTGTGCATATTATATTTGTACTTTGGTTCCCCATAATACTATTCCATATTATAATTTTTTTTTTTTCTTTTTAAAAACGAAAAACAAGTAGGTACATATCTGCTGCCATGCATTTACAACCGTCATCGTCGGGTGATTATTTTACTTTGATTGTTTCAATTTTGATAATATATATTATAGAGAGGACCTGGAACACCTGGCTGGGAAAAAAAATTCGAGACCCTTCTCATGGAAGTACGATATGGTCTTCTAAAAATCTACTTTTTAAATACAATGATAAGAAAATTATTGGGAATTAACGTGAGCAGATAGCAATAATGGATCAGTTGTTCATTTGTTGTAATTATCTTTAAATCTTGCTTTTGTCGCTTTCCCATATATGACAACTGTAAGTCAACATACATGTACATGTACACATGTGCATACACTATTGGTTCTTGTTTGTTATCAAGCCTGCATTTCGATCCAAGATAATTTTCTGTGCGATGGTAAATCTTTACAATCTACAAGGACTCACATGTATATAAGGTAAAATTCAAGTCTCATTCCAAAAGATCAAAGGGTAACAAATGGAAAACAATATCAGTCAAAATCGACAGCATGAAATCGACAAATTGGTAGATAACATGAAAGATTCATCAGCTGGAGGATATAATGTCTAGTATCTGGTTATGTAAGCTATCATTTGACACCAGAATGCCACCAGAAGGATATAAGATTCTTCTTCCAGTTTGATCGGCTGAAAGATCGAGTTTGCTACCCTTCCAGTCAGTCACCTGATCACTTTTAACTTGCCATCTTACTAGAGTAAAAGAAATTTCCAAGATATGCAATAAAATTTGTTCTAATATGGATAGCTAATAGGCAATAATGCATACTTGATTGCAAATTGCAATTTCATCTCGCAACAAACATAAGAACTGAAGAACTCGACTTGATATGTAAGCATAAGGTGTTTAATTTGGGCTTTATTGTGACCTGCAGGCTAGTTCGTAATGAAACGTAGAATAGAATAGGATAATGGCAGATGGCAATACCTTTCCACCGGCTTCATGAATACATATGACACCAACAGCATGATCCCACACCTACATTTTTGTGAAGTAAAATGTACTCAAGCTATTCATTTCTCATTTATTTTTCTTTTTGAAAAGAAAATGAACTTTGTTAATTCGATTAACAACGATAAGGAACAATAGAAATATACCCTGATAACAGATTTGGACCTTGCACGAAGAAAGAAAACCGATGCCCTCCCGGATGCAACCATCAGATACTTACATAGACTGCACAAACGTGATAACAAATAATAATAATAAAAGAGACGCATTGAATACTATTATACTGGCCATAAATAATAATAATAATAATAAAAGAGACGCATTGAATAAATGTCTATACTGCTTTTCAACCCTGCCTAAAACACAAACACCACAGCTGATGAACTTATATTAATTATCATAGTGAGGGAGATAGTTAGGCCAGAGTAAGATTCTTTAATTCAGATTCATTCAGTTATCAGACTATTGCCGTGCACTTCTACAGGCATCAGTAGTCCCATGATAATAAATATGGATCCTACGAATTGTTCTAACCCAAATACACACAATTAATGCTCCTAGCCTCCTATATGATACGCATTCAGAATTACAGGTGATTCTTAAAAACTTTTCACAATATGTATTATATATACAATAAAACTAGTAAAGGAGTGGCATGATGGTATTAGAAGTTGACAGAAGTACGTGTCATAAAGCCAAATAACTGGACGGTAAATGTATATTTTCCATGATATAAAAGCACCTTCCACAACATGCAGGGAGAAGAAGAACATTATTTTCCCCAACATTGTCAGCATGAGTAGTGGCATTAAACTGAATTGACAGGGGCAAAGACTCCCACGTTTGACTCTCTGGAATGCAAAAGCGTGCTTCATGAACATTGCGAAGACTGTCAACCAGGCACTTGGTCCACTTGTGAGTCAATTTGGTATCACTATTTTGCGCATTCCACAATGTTGTTCTCCAAGTTCCCCAACCGATGTGGGATATCATAATAATCCCTGATCTGGAATCAGTATTTTCTTTTCCCTCGACCTCAGGGACAGAATCTCCATACTGCCAGTTTGGACATCCCATAACACCCAGAACAATCTCTCCTTCAACAACTAAAGCCAGGCCTACCTGAAGAAAACAGTGTGGTGGTAGCATAAAATAACGAATCGTCACATGTGACTGCAATGCGCGAAGAAATCACAGCTAGCAGAGCAGAGTAACATGACAATTATGTCCATCAAAAGCTGTAAAGAGATCCATTCAGTGAAATTGTTCCATTTCAAAATTTCCCTGAAAATCCTTGTTGCTTCATTCTGAATTAATCAACCAAAAATAGTTTGTAAATCTAATGATTTGTTCATAAGGTTCTCAAGATCACAAGAAACTAACAAAGGAAAATCTCAAGGCAGTGCCAAGCAAAGAAAAGTAGAACTTTTAGAACTAGCAAAATCGCATATGATGGTTATTAATCACATTATAAAGAGAATTAGAGACAAACATATCTATAACCAGGGCGGGCACAGGATTTCAGAATGGGGGGCGGGTTTGGAAATACAAAAGAGCTACCAATTAGCAGAACTATTCACGATCTACTTCAGCTCAATTTGCTTATCCTGTTTAATAATAAATCGACCATACATCTCATTTATTTAATCAAGCAGAGGCCTAAGCTCCTTTCTGAGCATTGAAATTGTTATTGCTCAAATGTGAGTGTCATTTCATATTTATCATATTTATAACACTACCACTCCTTACTGTGTATTCAAGATATAGCACCAGTCTATATAATTACACGCTTGAAATGACATCCTAAAACCAATGTGAAAGTTAAAAAAAAATGCATTCTAGAGAGGAAAAACCTCCATGACATCACGTCCCATAGAACTAATAGACGAGAAACTAGCAAAGAGAATCTAGAAAAGAAAAACATACCACATAGAGAGCTTCACTACCTTTGACAAAACCACGTGTCCCATCAATAGGATCCAATATCTGCAAATATCCATCATATTGGCCAACTCTCAGGATTACAAGCCAAAGCAGGGCCGGCCCTGACTAATGTCAAAGTGGGCATTGGCCATGGGCCCCCAAATATTTGGGGCCCCGAATTTATATCTACATTATATATATGTGTATGGATTTTTGTTAGTGAATTTTTCTACCAATTAAAAAACCCAAAAAAAAATTAGCTTTTATTGGCCCAAGCCCAAACACATATAAGAAAATAATCATAAGCAATAAAAAAAAATCAAAGTCACTTTTTCTTTTGGAATTGGAAGCAACGGGAAAGGCAAGTGGAGAGAATATCAAAATAATTTTTCCATCAATATTCCTCATCCAACATTTCCACACAACTTCCCACGCTCAGATAAAGATGATAGGGAAAGAATAAAAAAAAGTATAAAGGTGGTAGGCTAAGATGACGACAAGGATACTTGGGAAAGAAGAGTAATATAATTTCCGTCTCGTAAACACCATTGTGCACTATACTCCTCCCCATCTTTATAGCACCGTGCTTTGCTTTTCTTTTTTACTTACGTCTATTTCAAAGTTGTACTTTCTAACGGGCGGAAAAATTTTTGAGTGTAGCGGATAAACAATTTGGAGCAACTATTTCGACGATTAAGCCTTTCTTTTCAGTCTTCAATTGATTCTTCTATTTATTCGCGAAAGTGAAACACCCAACCGAGAGACCTACTACAATTATTAGGGTTTTTTGGTTTTAAGATCATTATCCAATGCATAAATCAGGTTATATTTCTCGATTATATTTTATAATTTTGGTATTTTATTTTCATTGTTTGATTCCCAGGCTCTTTTTTTATGTGTTTGTCTATTATTATTTTTCACTGTAATTAAATGTATGTGTTGACAAAAGGGCCCCTTACCCAATTTTCTCCATGGGCCCCAAAAATGTCAGGACCGGCCCTGAGCCAAAGAAAAAAGAAAAAGAAAAGAAACTATCATTCATAAGATCACATTCCTTGTGAACTTCAATGGAGCAATTATGCCAATAGATCTCACATCACAGAACAATCTACCTTTAGTTCCTGAAAACACAATACACTATGCATTTTCACAGAGCTTACCCAATAAGTAGCTGGCTCTCGTCCAAACAAATATGCATCTTTCCCCCCTCTATCAATTGCCTTCAAAACATCATCTTGATTAAATGCTTCATCTCTTAATGACGATTTATCATTAACCACTTGAACAACAGCATCCACTAGATTATTTTTGCGTACGAATCCTGAATCTTCCTCCGCTACCAGAGGAATGGACGGAAATAATTTGCCCATCTCTGCCGCATTTGAGCAAAAATGTTACAAACATAATATAGGTATCCAAACACATAAATGTAAAATCAACTAATGAAATACATTACTTATTCTTGGGGGAGTAAAAGTTACCTAGGCTAACAAGAGCTTGAACTCCAAAATCTGCAATGGTGACAGGTGTCTGATCCAATTTTTCGACGATGTTTCCATCATTTGCGAACAATGATTTTTGCACCTATCTTCGCAGGAAAAATCAAGAAAAATATATATAAGTTTCAGCAGCAGTAATGCGGAAGAAAGCTCATCTAGAGAAACCCCCAACAAAATTACATCAACACAGAGACGACAGGCGCGCTCGACGACATCAACAGCTGCTTGCAGATGTTCCCAATACTTCGCTTTCTGCTCCGGCACTGGGATTTTCAAACTCGACCTGAAAAACAACACACACAAACCAAGAGACACGAAAACCAGAATGCTCAAAACCCTAGAATCGGTGCAGGGCGTGGGATTCTGTGGCGGAATCGAGTGCGGCGAACCTCACGGAGAACACGCACTGGCGGAGAGGTGTACGGTCCGGGCGGTGGGGACGCCGGGCGAGGAATCGAGAGGCCGCGGAGTGGATGAGGGCATCCATGGCGGGAATCAAAACCGTCGATCACCAAACGCACGCGTGTTTTGTGCAGTTAATTAGGCTAGTACGACACCGTTCACTCACAGCCCCAATTGCAATCTGAACGTTTGGGCTTTTTGACATGGGCCGCATCGTCATTGTAAAAGGCCCATTCTATAGTACGGAAAGCCCGTTTTAGAAGCCATTAAGCTTGGTACTGATTATGAGATTTTGAATTAAGTACACACTCTATGACCTTTTTTAATTTTTTTACAATATTTTAGTACTTTTTGAGTTTTTCCTATCTTACTTGTTTGTATTCTAGATAACTATGTCAAAGACTCAAGACTCAATTTTTAAGCCTTAACGAGTTTGAGCTCGACTAATTTATTAAACAAGTGAAATCAAACAGAGCTCACGACCTACTCGTTTTATTTAACTTTGTGTATCTTAGATGCAACCATGAGGAAGCTTTGAGCTTTCTATGATTTGGAACCTCGTAGAAGCATCTTTGGAGTACTTTTGTAAGATAAGAATTGTATTTAGTTGGATAAGCTCCATGTCAATATGTCTATTAGTCATCACCCTCTAAACTCTATTCCCGCCAAATAATTTGACCTTTCAACCTGCGCGATTTGACCTTGTACACAGGATTTTCGACCAACAAAACAAAAGATTCATAAATATACTACTTTTAAATAGAATTTCTTTCTCTTGGGTGTCTTTTTCTTTCTTTTTTCTTTTTTTTTTTCTTGATGGAGCTATTGAATTTGAAGATAAAGGTTAACCACAAGGTTTAATTATCAGTGTTTGTCGAACAATTTGTCAATTAAAGTTTCTTGCATATTTATATATTAAGAAATATTTTAATTTTTTAATATTACAATTTGAAGTATAGTTTAAAAATATATGGAATAATGTATATTAATGTAAGAGTATGACCTATCAATGTAAAGCTACCGCTCATTTATTTATTTACTGCAACAATTTTAAGAGGAATACCTATTTAATTTTATAATGTAGTTTACAAAACAATTTCCATGCAAATAATATCAAGAGATGACAAATGACGTGTGTGATCCTAGAAGTACGTAAATTCTACGTAATAAGGAGTATATCAACTCCGAGAAACATATTTGTACGTATTAACATATTATCCTATTATTATATATAGTTTAGAGAAATTTATTTTTGTCCAAAATCTAAAAACAATTATACCAAAAAAAGAAAAAAAAAATCATCTTAAACACAAAATCTCACTCGCAAACACAACCAAACAAAATGGATAAGCACAACAACCATAAGATAATTATGGTTTGATCCAATTAAAATCGCAACATAAACACTCATAAATTCCACAAAATTCGCTCCCTCGCCCACATCCAGTGGAACTTCAACCGCCACGTGTCGGTCACCACACGCTTCTGCTACCTCCGCAGCCGGTTGTCACGATCGGGAAAACCCCACCAACCAATCAAGCCTCGCCACCTAATAATTTTCTTCCCATATATATCCGCACCGCTTTTCCTCATTCCATATCCCTAATCTTATTGTACTTAGTAAAGAAAAACATTTTAGCGGGCTTTAATAACTTGTACTTTCCGAAAACACAGTACAACACGGATAATAATCACCGAGCCTACGTTGCGCAGATGAGTAGGGTGGCGTACCAGACGGGAATGAGGGCGATGCAGGGGATCAAAGACCAGCTGCAGGCATCCAAGAAGAAGTGCGAGCCGAGCATGAAGTCCCGCAAGGAAGGTTCTGTAGCGAGGAAATATTCCAGTGCGGCGGGGTCCACGGGGTCGAATGCTGACGGGGCAGCAGACAAGCGGAGGCACGAGGAGGAGTCTCTCCGTACGGTCATGTACTTGAGCTGTTGGGGTCCCAACTAGAAAAATAAAAAACGTGCTTTGTTTACTTTATGAATAGATATAGATATTGCTTTTTGGGTTTTTTTGTTTGTATTTATTTGTTTTCCTTTGTTTATTGTCTTCTTTTGTTGTTGTACGTATAGATGCCATAAAGAGGCTGTATGGAAGTGCGTGTATATATATATATATAAAGAAATTCGCGGATGTATTCGATTTTGAGCTATGGGACTTTTTTAAATTTTAAACTTTTCATAATCTATGAGGAAGAATATGTGAAATTTTAAGTATGGAGGTGAGATTTGGAATGTATTTTTTTTTTTAAAATTCTAACAAATGTCAAAAAGTAACAAATCATAGTTTCAAATAAGTTAAATACCTTTTGTAAGACTTTATATATAACTCAAGATTTTTTTTCCTTAAATTCAACAAATCTTAAAAAATTTAAACGGATTACAGTCTCAAATAAGTTAAATACATAGTATTTTGTAAAACTTTTTAAAATGTATACTTCAGGACTTTTAAAAATCTGAAAAAAGTTTAAATTAAACACTGATTAAGTTTTCTAAAGTTTTAAAAAGTCTTTAAGAATCATAAACGAATACACTCTTAAAAATTTTTAGGGATAAAGGGTACGTAAGTCGGACAAATTCAAAATTATTCTTTTCTCGGTCCATTTCTTTTGTTTCTCCTATATCACAGTGCACATATATAGACTATAGGAATTTATTTGATGATAACAAATAATGATCACTATATATGGGTACGTGAGACTAATTAATCACAAGTTTACAACTGTTTAATGAACGTGAAATATTGTTGGATTATATTATTGTGTGGTTTTCTGAATGAAGGGCAAAAGAATGCAAACAAAATCGTATAAAAGAAAATGTCGATGCCAATATTAGAAGAACATGGTAATAGTAATGACCAATTAACCGTTAATTTTTCCTCCTGACCTTCCTCTTTCAAAGCAAATAATCTAAAACGTGTGATTACTATCCAGACAGCAAATAAAATCCAGAAATGATCAAATAGTGGGATTGGTCCATGTTACAAAAGTCAACATGCTGATGTCAACGCGCATTTTGGTAACCATTTGCTTTTCCTACCCACTCCACTCTTNAAATCTAATTATTAAACCTAGTTATGTCCTCATAAAATTAACAGTAGTTTTTTATTTTGATAAAAAAGAAATGAAAGAATATGAGCCTGGACTCGGTTGAAACTTTCCTTACTATAGCGCAACAATGTCGATTCCATAACAGTTGCCATAGTGAAAAAATGAACAAAAAAGTATAATAACGATGCAATTTGTGTAAAATTTCTAAAGCAGTTTAATAAAAAATAAAATAAAATCCCTTAAAGTCCGTGGAAAATAGAGTAAAGATCCATAAGAAAGTTCAATAAATATTCTGAAAGAAAACCCAAAAATTGAAGGGAAAATGAAAACAATAAAGGGAAAAAATATGTAACATGAATAATTGCACAAATCAGTTACTTCAAATTTGAAACTTTTTTTTTTCATAAATTAATAATTGCATTGTTTTGTCACTTTGGGTGGAAGAAGATTATTATGGATTTGATGTAGCATGTGAAAGAGGTTTTCTTCACATAATGCCCAAAATTGGGTAATCAATCAAACCCATAAAAGGTGTATTCACTAAACCAAACCTTTCATTTCATGAGTCTTTTTCTTCTTTTCCTGTACTCCAACACCTAGCATTAAATTCGAAAATTATGTCTATTAATATATAAAAATAAATTGTTATTACATACTTGTAGTCTCTTTTTACGCATNTTTCGTCAGTAGGTCTTTCTGGTGGGCTAATATTATTTACATCATAACTCTTCTTTAACATGTACTGTTGGTAGTTTGTACATTAGGTTAGAAGTATAATAACAAATTAATTAAGATATGTATTAAATCTTACTAGTACGGTACCCGTGCGATGCACGGGAACATTTATTACCTATTTATTTTTTAAAAAGTATTTTTGTATTTAAATTGTCTCATGCCATTAAAAATTTCATGAAAATGAAATTTATATGTTATTAAACACTTCCTTATGTACAACATTATTGATTTGATTCTTTGTCATGTAAACTACTACATAGGTGTTCGAATTTATCCAAAGTTGCATATTATTGGTTATTAGTTAATAAATTTTTAAAAAAAATTAAAGGATCTTATTTATTAAACAAAATTAAAGTAGAAACAAAAGTAGAATTTTTTAGGGATTTTCACTCATTATTTATTTAAATCTAATTCTAAATTTCAATTAAGAAAAATTGAAAAGAAACATTAGTTACTCTTGGAAATGAAACCGATTTTCCTACCAATAAACCGATTTTTTGATCAAACAAATTTATCCGAATATTTTTTTAAATCAAATAAAAAAAATCTTCAATTTTTTCTAAAAATGCAACCGAATTTTGCTAACATTGCACCGATTTTTGTACCAAACAAATTGAATTGAAAATAATTTTAATAAAAAATTAAAATAAATTGTTAATGTTTATGCAATTGTCTTTTTTCTAAAGAAAATGATATGAACTTACCAAAATCTCTGTAAAACATGGTTAAGAAAAAACATAAGAATCCAAAAAAATCGATGCATTTAAATTTTGAAAAGTTGCACACAATTTTTCCTAAATAATTGGATAAGGTGACGTTAAATATCAATGATGAACCGCTTTTGTTTCCAACAATTGTGGACACAATTTTGAATGTACATACCGTCCAAATATCAATTTTATTTTAAAATAAAAATTGCACGTAGCTTTATCCAATTTACACAATTTTTTTGAAAAAAAACAGTATTCAATAAGATTGGAAGAATTGATTAATAATTATACAACTATTTGCTTCCTAAATTTGTATCCAATTTGCACGGTTTTTAAATTAATTTGTATTTAGAATTGTTTTCATAAATAATTGACATATTTTTTGCATAAGAATCTCTAAATTTGTTACCAAAAAAGATGATTTAAATTTTGGTTAAAACAATAAAATATGATACGAAAAAAATGAGACTCAAATTTTGCCATAAGAATCTCCAAATTTGTTACCAAAAAAATAGGATTTAGATTTTGTTACTTAAGATTCACATGTGTTTTTTTGAACTTTTCATCAATAGTAAATCAAATATTATTTTTATTTGGTCAAACTTTCTATTAATGTATTTTTCCAACAACCTCTTTATATATATATAGATTTCATGGCATAAATTGACTCTTCCATTGAAGTTTTTGCTCCTTTTAGTGGTAGCAATCATAAACCTATGCATGTTGCGTCATTCAAAAAAGCTACAAATATACCTAACCAAATTTCTCGTTTAATCTTATTTTATCGCATAAATTGACTTCTGACACAATTCTTTTGAAGTTTATGTACCTTTTAATGGTACATAATCATATATGTTTTCGTGTTGTCAATGCAAAAAGCTACAAATACATACCATTACGCGGTATTTATATCATATTATTTATAAAATATCCAACTAAATTTATGATTAAATCTTATTTTATCACATAAATGACTTGTTGGCACACTAGCTTCCTTTGAATTGTATACCAATTATAAATATATATTATTACGCTTGATCAACCGAAAAGACTACATATATATACAACAACGAGTACAAACAACCATATTTTTTCGATATATATTTATAATTTTCAAAGTGAAATATTATATTTTATAAAATAACAAAAATAAAAGTATGATATTCTTCATAACACTCATATGAATTTTTAGTTTAGTAAAAACGATATATTCATCTGTCTAACGTTAGATCGCCTCGTAAAAGTATTTGAATATTTGAATCCTCTCACTCTTTCCTTACCAAAAGACAAAAAACTTCGAAAATATCCTTATCACTAGTTATAAAAGTAAAGAAAAAACTAGTTATAAAAGTAAAGATTTGATGTTGATTCTCAATATTGCATCATTTTGAAACTTGAATTTTCAAAACCACACTTTAACCCGAACCCGATAGCCCGACCCATAATCCGCAGATAAAAAACAAGTAGTAAGTACACAAAGACGTCCTCGTTAGAAATCTTCCGCACACACAACCCATCAACGAAGAGCTTTTTAAAAAGTCATTCTCTCCAAAGAAAAGCGCAACATCCCTGCGACGTCGTTTTAGGTACTCTGGCGATCGGAAAATCCAATTCAATGGCAATCGCCGAGGAGAAAACGGACGGCAAAGTGTGGGGTCTCTTTAAGCTCCCCTTCCGGAACTCCCAGTCGGCGGCGTCCGCCTCCTCGAATTTCTCTCACTACCAGCAGAATTACGGCCATGGGAACAGCAACGCTCACCCTCCGGTGGAGGGATCGGGGGCACAGGGCGGAGCGGGAAGCTCGGTTTCCTCGGTGGCCAGATCTCTTCTCCCCACGCGCCGTCGTCTGAAGCTCGATCCTTCGAATAAGCTATATTTCCCTTGTACGAGCTTCTGTTGACTTCGGACTGTGCCGTTCTTTTCTTGTTTTTCGCTTTTCATGACTTGATTTGATGTTGCAGGGAGTTGGTTCCTACTGATTTGCATTTTTATTTGGGTGGATAATTTATTTTCATTTCATTGGGTCAAGANAAGAAAAAATGCTGTAGTAATTTTGACTTGAATTGTTAGATTTGATGTTTGTGGATGATTATGAGTATAATTGTTACCAAGGAATTTCTCTTTCTTAATTCATTGGATTTTCTAATTAGAGAAATATAAGGTCAATAGTATAATAGCTATCTTTACATGAGCTGAATTTGGGAAAACCGGTGAAGTCCCTTCTTTATCAAACTACATTTTCAACCAGCATTTTCATGTCCATGGAGGATATTATTGATTGTTATATATGGTTCTGAATTAGATACAGCTATTGCAAAAAAAAAAAAAAAAATATGCTCTTTTAATCATTGGGTTTTCATAAATACCACTTTTGTCTATTGCGACCAATCTAACGGCCGAAAGGACTGATATTGCTACCAAAAAAGTTGCACTTTTAGAAGGGGAAGTGAGAATTTCTCACAATATTCCCTTTAATTATTTGAATAATTCGTGTGTTCATTCGCTAGAGGCTAGACATGTTTATAATTTGCTTAACCTGATTGCTGTGTATTGTGTGCTTATACCGTTTCCTTTAATTACTGTCAGATGAGCCTGGCAAGCAAGTCAGAAGTGCTATTAAAATAAAAAATACAAGCAAATCCCACGTGGCTTTCAAGGTACTCCAAGCATTTTGACTGTGTTTGTTTGATCTCCCGTTTCTCTTGCTATTCATCCATATTTGGGGTTTAAGCTATAAATCGTCATGAGTAGAAAGTTCTAGATTGATATTGTTTTATGAGTGATGTTGTTTATTATTGGTGTTCTAGTTCCAAACAACTGCCCCTAAAAGCTGCTTTATGCGTCCTCCTGGCGCTATTCTTGCTCCCGGCGAGAGTATAATTGCAACTGGTAATCATTTGGCTATGAATACTGAATATGAGGATATTTATTCATTCATTGATTAAATTGGATATTGTGATTTTTTTTATCCATCAGTATTCAAGTTTGTAGAGCCCCCAGAGAACAATGAGAAGCCGATGGACCAAAAAAGTCGTGATAAGTTCAAAATTATGAGCTTGAAAGTAACAGGGCCAATGGACTACATACCTGAAATGGTTTGTTACATTCTTCTGTTGTTTATAATATCGGTTGCTTTAAAAAAAGTTTGTGAAAATTTATTGCATTAAGATCTATTTCATTTTACTATGGCATAGTTCGATGACCATAAGGATCAAGTGGCTGTGGAGCAGATACTTCGTGTAGTCTTTCTGGATGTTGAGCATCCGTGTCCTGTAAGTGAAACATTTTCTAGTCCCTGTAACTTTGAATGCCTTTGGTCTTATTATAATTTTGCATGCCTCTTTCTTTAAGAACTAGTAGTCGTCCATGTGCACATGCACTGAGACAAATAAAAACTTATGTATTATATGTATATATACAATATTTGAAATTTTAAATTAGATAATGGATGTATTACATTAAATTTTTTTTGACTAAATGTACAATATAAATATAAATTATTTAACTTGCCTGTGAATCTTTATATTGATGACATAAATTTAATGGACAATGTATTTTAATTTAGACTGACCATACAATTAATTAGTTAGAAAAGTATTACAATTATTTTTATTATTATTGTAGTAATTACTTATATAATTTTAAGGAGTTTAATTATGACACACATGTCAATTAACTAATAAAGAGAAAAATCGCTTAATAAGACGAAAAATAATATTTATTGTAGAATAATTATCTTAAAGAAAAAAATTGCAATGCAATTTTGTATAAGTATGTAACTTTCACATACTATTTAATGTAAATTTATAGTTAGTTAGTATTAGTAGTAATTATTACATAATAAATTAGTTTAAATTATTATTACACTTTATTAATGTATAATGTAACTATTCCACATTAATTGAAAAAAAGAGCGGGAAACCTATAGAGGTTTTATTTATTGCTCTGCCAACAATTATACATATAGATATAGGTACGCGAGTTTCCATTGGAAGTAGTAATCAAACACCTTTTTTGGTTACTTTGAAAGGCTCTGGAGAAACTAAATCGCCAGCTGGCAGAAGCCGAGGCTGAGCTCGAGTCCCGCAAGAAGCCTCCGGAGGACACGGGCCCAAAGTTCATCGGAGAAGGACTTGTTATTGATGAATGGGTGGGTTATGGTTTCGCATTAAATTTAGAGATTATATAGTTGACATCATTTGGATTTGATCTTTTAATTAATATTCTCTTCTTTCCATTTTTTTTTTTCCTTTTTTGCAGAAAGAAAGAAGAGAAAGATACCTAGCTCGACAACAAGGGGAAATGGTGGATTCTGTATGAGTAGAACTTTACTCTGCAAATGTATTTCTAGTCTTGAAATTTCTGCACTGTTCTGTATGAGTGTATTTAAGTTGTTTTTTTCCAAAAGGTATCTCATGTCAAAGGTTGAGTAAAGGAGATAATGGACAGACACTCTTCTAAGTCAAATGTGACCGTTGCAAGTTGAATTTGTAACATGAGGTGTGTGTTACCTTGTGGCCATACACGGTGTAGATATTTGATTTTGTTTATGAAATGAGATAATTTCTTATTTCTGTTTTGATTTAATTAAATTGGAGGGTGAGGACTTATTTGACTATGGGCTGACTTCATATTTGATATGTGTGACTTATTTTTTTATTTTTTTTTTTAAATCTGAATTTATAACTACTGATATATTATTATAACTACTTGTTTTTTGTTTTAAATAGAATATAAAAGATATTATTTATTATTTGTTTTGATAAATTAATAGTTTAGTTTTGAAAGGAGTCTACCATTAATGAAATTCTAACTCCCCGTTCTTATGATACAAATTTTTATTTTTAGTTCGGTATTTATAATTTTTTTCCGTGGAGTATTATTTCTCTTCCGGCATAGATAAAATATGGCGTCGCTAAATCTGAACCCAAACCCGTTATTAAAACCTTCATCTTTCTCCGTCGGCCGGAAGAAGAACCCGTTATTCAATTTCAAACCTTCATCTTTCCCCATCAGTTTGAACAAGAATAACAAGAGTAAGTTGAATTTGTGCAAAACTTTCTCTATCACTGATGACAATTGGTTGCATACAAGTTTGTTTCAATCGAAGAGGAGGAGCAAGTTTATTATTGCGGAGGACCCAAGCATGGAAGAGACGAACTACGTGGTAGTTTCAATCGACAAAGAGAATCTGGAGCCCACAATATTAACTAAGATTGATAATCCCTTTCCAGACCCTGTCTTTCATCCATATGAGTCTTGCAAGGGTTTGATTTTACTTTTGTATGATAACACTTGGAATAAATATCACGACGACCTTCACCAAGAGGATATTTGGACCCAAGAGGCTCTTTGGAATCCCACAACAAACGAACTCAAAATCCTTCCTACTTCTCCCGCAACCTTGGACCCGAGGTACTATTCAAAATGGTTTTAAATATTTATTTTTGTTTTCATTTAGGGGTGTCTGAATAAAAATATATTCACTCAAAATGAGTTTTGATAGGAAGTGATAGTTAGTCAAAATTATGTGAGTGAATGAATAGTAAATTAGAGTTGATGTAATGTGTAAGAATGATTGAGTGACATTATTTAATTGTGTTGATAATATTTAGGATAGTGAGATTGAGTTAAAATTGAGTTAGAATTTGAGTAATGATAAAAGTGATCGGACTTTTTTTTTTTTTTGGGAAATCCATATAAAGCATGCTCCTAATGCTTTGATAGAGGAGCCTTTTACTCTTCAAAGGGCTTGATAGAAAAGTGCAATATAACAAATCGAGCGTAAGGCTCAAGGCTCCTCAATCAAAGCCTTGGTAGATAGTAGTTTGTAATGCTAAGTTCAATATAACTTAATGTGATCCACATTTTTTTTTTTTTCTTTTTCAGGTAAGAAAGGTGTATCCGCAATTATTTTGCTTTCGGGTATGATTCCACGTCTAAGGACTACAAGGTGATAAGATTTATGCGAAGATCTAATGATGATTTCACTTGGTCCCTTGCCGTGGCCGAATTATATTCTCTCAAGACTAACTCATGGAAACGAGTCAACTTTCGTCCTTACACCTTCTATCCTTACAGCGAGCCATTCTCGAGAATTCACGTGAACGGCACTTATTACTGGTTAAATAACTTAGACGACTATTTTATCCAGTCTTTTAACTTTTCTACCGAGAAGTTTGAGTCCTATCGTGTTCCTATGCCCCCTAGCGAGAAGTTGGAAAAATTTTGTGATAAGAGGCTCGTTGAATATTGGGGCTCGCTCGGTTTTTTGGCTTCGACTACTTTGTGGGTAGATGACGAGATGCATAATGCTTTAGAACTTTGGGTGTGGGACGACGTGAGTTTGTCGTGGGCCCAAGAGTCCACGTGTCTCGTCGATAAGATGAGTAGTTATATGGGCCTCTTTGAGAATGATAAGTTGTTTTATCTACAACCAGGGGGTGATTTGACGGTCCAAGATTGTGCAATGAATACGGAGATGAACATATCGAATGTCTGTAGTCATGATGTGAGCACCGTATTTCCTTTCGTTGAGAACCATGTTTCGTTGAGCTCGTATGGAAAACATCGAATACGGCTTTCCGCAGAATTCTATATGTATCTGGGAGTGTAGGTGTACCGCCTAATGTTAGAGAAAGGAGAACAAATACCAATTTCCGCATCCGTCCATGGAAGACAGAACACGGATGAGAAGGTTTGGTACAACCCGTTGTTTCGACCTGAGGGTTCTTTTGTTTGAGACCTTGTTGCTAATCTCGAGATAAGGCTCTGCAAGACCTGTTGTTTGTGAAGAATAGAATTCTAGTAGAGCGTAGCAAGACATTAAGGAAGAACTCCTAAGCTAGGATATTCTGGTTGTGGAAGCAGCAAAGTCTCAGAAAGATAATGGTTGATATTAGTCGTTCTTTAGCCGCTATGCTTACTACCGGTACTGATAATTGAGTTCAATGAAAAGGTCTCAATGAAGAGAAGAAGGAACTACAAGAGGAAGGTTCCGTACCGAAGAAGAAGTAACAAAGACAGTTCCTCCGGGCAGGTCAGGTTCAAGGTGGCGATTTCTTCCAGCTCTTCAGTAGCTCGTTCAGTCATAAAGCTTTGAGTTGAATCTTGACCGCACTTCCCTCAGGTCGAAAAGAAGAAATGCTAAGTCCTTTAGTTGTTCGAAAGCAGCCTTATTAGAGAATATCGATATGGGATAGCTTACCAGTTCTCAGTTATTCCTCATTCACTGATACCCTTGTTGTTCCTTACCCTCATACCGTATAGAACATGCATTAAACAGCCTGAAAGGACATCAATGAGCTAATCCTTCCCACGCTATCTTGACAAACAGAACAGCGATCCATACACAGGTAAAAGCCCTCGCTACTGTTTGTTAAATGATATGGGCGATCGAAAGTCCTTTCCCTTATCGTAAAGGCGAGTACGCATCGGATGGCAGCTCCCCTCTATATGGGGCATCCCTCTCTTGGGCCCGGTCGAAGCTTCATTTCACTTTTTTCTAAAGAGGGTTAGATATTTTTGGTTTCATTATATAGGAAATGTAAAGTGTGGGACAAGGAAGAATGATAAGTATTGCAGATGAAGATCACTCCAATAAATACATTAACGGGTTTGCTCGCTGGGTCAGAATTGGATAAGAACCACTTAAACCGGTCTGCTTGAGATTCTGCGAGCAGATCCGCGTCAACAGCCTCCGTACGCGCGTGTTCCGTGACCCAGCGAGCAAACCCGTTAAACCGGTCTGGGTTGAGGTTCAGATAGGATCCCCCCTTTTCGTCCCCGACGGTACTACGCCGCGTACCTACAAAGAACTCTCACCGGCGTGCTGCTATGATGTAAGGTGCAGTCGTCCAGAGATTGGATATTCAGATTCAGATTTTGCTGGGTGCCTTGACAGTCGCAAGTCAACGTTTGGCTATGTGTTTCTCCTCGCCGAAGGAGCAATATCATGGAAAAGTGCCAAACAGTCTGTCATAGCTGCATCTACTATGGAGGCTGAATTTGTAGCTTGTTTTGATATCCTACTTGTCTTCCCCGGCAACGGCGCCGATTTTGTTGTAGCAAAATATATTTTTACCGAGTACCGAATCGAAAGATTCGTTCCTGATTGAAGATATTCACATGTTGTCCTAACTCGATCCCTCCTGCATCTTCAGCCCGTATAACCTCTGCTTCAGATACAGTTTTGTCGTTAGGGTTTTCGACATAAACTGCGATTTCGCGTCGCGAGCTGGGCGGTCATGTCGCGTCGCGGCTGGTCATCCGTCGGTTCTGGTGCACCAATTCACCAACTCAATCTTACAAGCATTTCAACAATTAACCTCACATTCATGCATAACACATATTAAACAATTAACCCCACTTTCATCTCTTTAAACACAATACAATACGAGCCTGATGACTGTGACGTAAAGAATGACGAACAAGGCTCTCAAGACACATCATCAGGTATGCTTGTTGATATAGTTATAACCATGCTATTTAAATTCTGCTCAGGCCATTTAAATTCAGTAATCTTTACTAAAAGCAGGGGCTGCGTGCGGGTCACCGGGCTGCAGGATCGTCGCGGGGTGGCTGCGTGCAGGCTGCGTCTTGTGTGCGGCTGGCATCCACGTCTCGCAGTCGGCGTGCGGTTGTCTCGAGGTCCCCTCTGCTCCTTTGGCTGGTCTGACCGAACTAGTCGGGCCAAATAGAGCGGATCATGTGGGGTCCTCCGACATCGAGGAGCGTGCTGGACCGGGTTTTCTACCACCCGCGACTGGGATGCACGGTGGCTGCTGGGATGGGCTCGGCTTGCCTGGGGGCTGCACACCGTGCGGTGGGGCTGTTGCATGGATTGGGCATGCGGCTATGTACGTTCGTGGTCAGATCAGAAAAGTTCCTGGAAAACCTGGTCACGGAGAAAGGACACTATCATTTGATGTGAATAACATATTTGTCTCGACCAAACAAACTTTTCGAAGCAGCAAGAAAACGGATGCGCGTTAGCGCAACGGCTTTCGCGCTAGTTGCTCAATCCGTTGCTTGTTCAGTGAAGTCATAGAAAAGCCAAATCCTTTTCCTCTTCCGGGCGGGAATCATTCACGAATAGAGGTCATTAAAAAGAGTGAATCATATACTGGCCTCTCTTCTACTAATATAAGCGGATACTCGGACTAACCTGTCCTTAACGGGATGGTACTGACTTTCGACAATCAGCCTAAAGCAGATTGATCCCGCTGGTGGGGGGGACCCCATATTAGACCAGCATCTCTTCAGCTGGGAATTATTGAAGGAAGGAGCACTACGTGCCTTTGTAATACTGGTCTAGTCGCTACAACCTAGATTATCAGCGCCTAAAAGCTCTGAACGAGCCCATGTAGAATATTGAACCGGGGTGAAGTTCTCCTGCTGGGTAAAAAGCCTATCGGAAAGGCTGCAGGTAAGGCTTGCTCCCCGCCATAGGCCGTTATCAAAGAAGATGCACATTCAAGTACAATGATGAAATGATTAGAGATGGTTGGGACTTAACAATGGCTTATATGATATATGATATGATATTACTTATTATCTTTCTTTTCTCTGTAGGGAGAAGTGAAATATTTAGGAATTTGGTGTTTGCAAAAGAACTTGGTGTCCTTGTTAACTTGTGTGAATTTTGATAAATGGTTTTGATTTACAAATGTTTATAGTATTTTTTTAAAGTGTATAAAAATGTGCGTATTCAAGAAACAAGTAGCTGTCTACCTGTTAAGTTTGCCTATCCAATACCGTGTGGCCTAAAGAACTCGTAAATGGTCTGACTGAAAGGATTGCATTCGAAGGTTCAAAATCACCATAATAAGAGCTTCAAAAAGAATACTGCAAAATCAATAGGGGAAGTCAAACCAAAATATGGAGGTGATGGGTGAAAAATACTTCAATCACATTCTTTTATACAAACTGAAGGTGTAATTCACAAAAGTAGATTCAATCACATTCTTTTATACAAACTGAAGGTGTAATTCACAAAAGTAGACCTCATCAAAACAAGATAAAAACAAATCTGTTTCTCAAACAGAACCCTTTTAGTAGAGCAAATACCACAATTCTACTATTCCAAACCCAAAAAAATAAAAATAAATAAATAAAAATGAAAAAGTGCACAAAGAAAGGGTAAACTATGCTAGTTGAGCAAAACTTCTCATTTGTACTGTGTATACCTGAACCGAAAAGAACATATTTCTTCCAATAGTGTGGGAAAAGTTGAAACATTATGCATCAGGATATAGCAGGTCTTGTTTGGCCCCTGCTAAAATTGGGAGGATTTTTCTTGGCAACATCGACTGTAATAATCCAACCATTGATGATCTGAAACCTCAAAAAATGAAATCAGTTTCATATTATTTTTTGGTAATTACATGCTGATGTAGCGCATCGTACACGGGATGAAAAAGAGATAAAAATCTCACAACATTTTGTATTGTTTAATCAATAGCCGATCGGTATGGCCAAGAGGAAGAAAATAAATAGTCCTAATCTCTTAATTACCTATCTTGTCAAACGAGTAAATACCCTATAAAGATAAATATTCTCCAAACAACTAAATAAGATAAATAAGGAAAATAATAATAATAATAATAATAAAGGCAATAAATAAATATACTAAAGCCGGAGCCAATCATATTTTTCCAGATAGGCAAGTGCGATCTCGTCTCTATCATCCTCCCCGGTTGAGAAGGATTCGTCCTCGAATTCGAATCGATCTCGTCTCTGTCGGAGTTATTACTAGATAAGGCACAAAATGCTTGACGCTAAAGACGTCAGACGTGTGGATGTGCGACAGTAGGCGGTGCCGGTAAGCATTTGGATTCATCTTCTCGACTATCTCGACTGGGCCGACCTTTCGGGGGGATAGCTTGTTATACTCGTGAGCCGAAAATTTGTCCTTGGTCAAAACCGCCCAAACATAGTCGCCTACCTCAAACTGCACGTGTCGGTGAGCATCCGCCTGACGCTTGTATGCCGCCGTCATCTTATCCAAATGAGCTCGGGCCGCGGCATGCGTCTGATGTAACTCGATAATAAGATCCTCGCAATACCAGCAAATCGGAAGGGCCACACAGCTGTACGACATACACGACCTGAAAATTAGAGAAGCCCGTGGCCCGACTTACTACCGAATTATGTGCAAACTTGGCTTGACTCTGCGCAGGTTCTCGCCTAAGAACAGAACTGAGTTAACCATGAAGAAGTACTTCCGCGACGCTACATATATAGAAGGACACAGTACGCAGGATAAGGAGAACATAACGCACATGATCCAATTGCTCCTCCATTGTGCGACTGTAAACGAGTATGTCGTCGAAATAAACGATGCCACACTTTCTGATGAGGTCCCGCAGCGCCTGATTTATAATGCGCATACATGTGTTTGGTCTTATGTTATAATTTTGCATGCCTCTTTCTGCGTTAAGTTTCCATTGGAAGTAATAATCAAACTCCTTTTTTCATTACTTTTGAAAGGCTCTGGAGAAACTAAATCGCTAGCTGGCGGAAGTTGAGGCTGAACTCGAGTCCCGCAGAAAGCCTCCGGAGGACACGGGCCCGAAGTTCATCGGAGAAGGACTCGTAATGGATGAATGGGTGGATTAGGGGGTGATTGTTTATCAATTCATCTAGAAATTAATTGAGTTTTTTTAACTATAGTTACTTTGAAAAAAAGTTAGTATGGTTAGTTGTTAGTGGATATATTAAAATGATATTTAAAATAAAATAATTAAAGTTGATATGATGTAAAAGTAAGAGAAAAATGATTGGAAGTGGTGGTTAGTTAAAATTATGTGAGTGGATGAATAGTGAATTAAAGTTGATGTGATGTGTAAGAATGATTGGTTGGTATTATTTAATTATATTGGTAATAATGGAGATAGTAGAGTTGGGTTAAAGTTGAGTTAAATTTGAATTTTGATTGACTTTTTTTAATTGGATTGATAAACAATCACACCCTTATCGTTTCGCATTGATATTCTCTTCTATCCATTCTTTTTTTTTCTTTTTCGTTTGTAGAAAGAAAGAAGAGAAAGATACCTAGCTCGACAACCAGTTTTGCTATGGAGCCATCGGATGGCTCGGCTTATGGAGCCATACACACTTATTCACCAATATTGTATTGATACATGTCTTGCAATAAATACACTTTGTACAAGTGTCAAAAAATTAAGTGGTGGATGTCTCCATAAGAAGACCATCCGATGGCTCCATAAATTTTTTGGCTCGACAACAAGGGGAAATGGTGGATTATGAATTTTATCCGCAAACGTATTTCTAATCTTGAAATTTCTGCACTGTAATCTGTATGATTGTATTTAAGNTTTTGTTCAAATCTAAATTTATAGCTACTGATATCTTAATATAACTACATGTTTTTTATTTTTAAATAGAATATAAAAGATAGTATTTATCATTTGTTTCGATAAATTAATAGTTTAGTTTTGATAGGAGTCCAGCATTAATGAAATTCTAATACCCCGTTCTTATGACAGAAATTTTATTTTTTAGTCGGGTAGTCATCAATTTTTCCGAGGAGTACTATTATTTCTCTCCCGGCAGAGATAAATATGGCGTCGATAAATCTTAACCCAAACCCGTTATTAAAACCTTCATCTTTCTCCGTCGGCCGGAAGAAGAACCCGTTATTCCAACCTTCATCTTTCCCCATCAGTTTGAACAAGAAGAATAAGGGTAAGTTAAATTTGTGCAAAACTTTCTCTATCACTGATGACAATTGGTTGCATACAAGTTTGTTTCAATCGAAAAGGAGGAGCAAGTTTATTATTGCGGAGCAGCACCCAAGTAAAAAAACAAAAATACAGAGACTTCAGTTACGTGGTAGTTTTCAATCCACAAAGGCTATGTTTGCTTGAGCTGACGGGATTACACTAAATTTATCTCATTTCATAAGATTGCACTGTTAGGATTTTTTCCATCTCTTGTTTGTTAGCTTGATAGGGTTTTGTTTGAATAAATACTGAAATTAGTGAAATGTCCAAAATGTACAAATAATATTTTCTTCTCTTTATTTTTTTTTCTCCATTCTTTCCTCTATCCTGCCTCACCATTTCCTTTTCATTTTCGTCTGCACCTCAACAACTTATTTCCATTTTTTGATCTTTTCATTTATTTCTCTTCAGGTTGATAGTTTTATTTTTTTTTATCTCCCATTTTTTCCTTTATCCTTTTTTTCTTTATTTCTTCATCAATGTTTCTTTCTTTCCCTCCTGTTTTATCATATTTTTTTAGTTGTCCGATGTTTCTTCTTCAATGTTTCTAGTCTAATCACAAAGCTCACACCGAGAATTGTCTATTGAAGTGTAAGTTGCCCGATGGAGGCGGATTTTCGCCGTTGAAGATCCGAACAAGCGGTGGGGAAATTGGAAATCAACTCAAAATTGAAGCTAGAATTAAATAATTGAAAGATGAAATGAAGATGAAAAAGTCCAGAACAAACGAAAGAAGAAAAAATTGAGAACTATGGCAGGAAAGAAAAAAAATGGCGAAAAAGAGTCCTGAAAAGATGAAAGAAGATGAAGAAAAGGGTGGGGTGCGGGGGTAAATTGGTCATTTCTTTATTCTGTAAAGGTGGGATAAAAAATATCTCACATCTTCCTCGAGATCGAATTATCATACATACGCAAGATTAATTTATTTAGTAGCGGGCCAAAGTTTTTTTTGCGGGCCTGGGTCTGTCTCACCAAACATAGGATAAGGCCGGGATTGAGGGTGTTATCCTATCTAATCTACCCTATCAAACACGCCCAAAGAGTCAAAGAGGATTTGGAGCCCAGATTATTTAATAAGATCGATAGTCCTCTTCCTGATCGTGTCTATCTTCCATATGGTGCTTGCAATGGTTTGATTTTACTTTTGTGTGATGGCATTTGGAGTAGAGATCCAGACATTGCCAAAGAGGCTCTTTGGAATCCCACAACAAACGAACACAAAATCCTTCCTACATCTCCCGCAACCTCGGACCCATGGTACTAATTAAAAAAGGTTTAATATATAATATATATATAGGGAGTGGTTCAAATAAAAACTTTTTTTGTTGTGAGAACCGTGAGAACCATATTTGATGCTATTTTTAATTGTGTATGATGTTATTTTTAATCTTACATGGTGCTATCATTTTTACAAATGCTAAGTTGCTATTTTTAATAAAATACATCTGATTAAAAATAGCACTAAATACAATCAATCATAGCACTACATACAATTAAAAATAGCGGTTCTCACGCTAGGACTTGGTTCTCATTTGAACCCATGTTTTAAAAGCCGTATCGTACCGGCCGGTAATACCGGATACCGGCCATTGGTACGGTACAATTACACTCAAAATACCGCATTTACAGTTATACCAGTTTGTACCGGGATCATACCGCAAAAACAGCAAAATACCGGTCCAAAATACCGGCCAATAAAAAAAAATTAAAAAAAAATAACTTTAATTTAAAAAAATAAAATTTAAATTGGTAGATAAAATGTTTAATTTTTATCTCATTGAGAAGTTGTAATTAATGATTATGTCATTTATTTTTTACTTTTTTGCATTTGATATTATATATTTTTATGTATATTTATATATATCATTATATTTGCTAATCCGATAATACCACCGGTATTACCGGTCCTACCTGTAATACCGCGTACCGGTGGCTTGACCGGTATGACCACCGGTACGGTATTTAAAACACTGATTTGAACCACATCCTCTCTCTCTCTCTATATATATATATTTCATTTAACATTTAAAATGGATCAAATTAAGTTATATGTGGATCAAATTAAGTTATATTGAGCTTAGCCTTATAGTTGACTACTACTACTACCTAGTCCTAGTCATATGAAAGACTCTTCGAAGGTTTGGCTTTCAAGGCTTTGATAGAGGAGTCTTACTCTTCATTTCTTGTATTTGATTGTGCTTGGACGATGTTTTTTTAGTTTAATTTTTCATTTCTTGTATATATATATATATATTTTTTTTTTTTCAGGTATAAAAAGAGTATCCACAATTATTTTGGTTTCGGGTATGATTCCACGTCTGACGATTACAAGGTGATACGATTTCTGGAAAGATCCGATTTGAAGCACACTGTCACTTACATGACTTACCATCTTATATTATAATTTATTTAATTTATATCAGACAATTACTTTATAGTTAAGTTTGTTTAAATAAATTTATTTTTTTGAATTAATATTAACATGTCCAACAACTAAGTGTAGCAGAGATGCGTATGTTGCGTTGGTTTTGCGTGGACACAAGAAGAGGTAGAATCCAGAATGAGGATATTTGAGATAGGGTCGGGGTGGCTCCAATTGAGGAGAAATTGGTTCAACATCGGCTAAGGTGGTTCGGACATGTCCAACGGAGGCCTCCTGATGCACCGATGTGTAGGGGAGTTCTACAGCGGGTCGAGGATGTAAAGAGAGGTAGAGGTCGACCTAAACTCACTTGGGAAGAGTCGGTTAAGAGAGACCTTAAAGATTGGAATATCTCCAAGGATTTAGCGGTGGATAGGAGCAATTGGAGGCTAGCAATCAACGTGCCAGAACCGTGACTTTTGCTCCTTTCTCTTCCTTTTGTTTCGAGCCCTTTTTGTGTTTCTCTTACCATTGGTTCTCTTGTGTTTCATCTCTAGCCTACCCCAACTTGCTTGGGACTAAAAAGCTATGTTGTTGTTGTTGTTGAATTAATATTAGTATGTTATTTAATTTTAATTATAAAACATAACTAATGCTCGGAAAAGGGACAATAAATATCTAATATATTTATGGATATTTCAAGTTTAGTTACATTTGTATTGAAAATGATTAAAACTCATCCAAGTCAAACAACAAAGCTTAAAAATTTACCACATAGGATCGAAGTGTGAGAGTCTGCTACTAGAGATCAACACATTCAAGAATTATAGATTGAAGGGATTATTTTTTTTATCTTCTACACTTATGCTCATTAATGCATACCCAAGTGATGCACACGATGAATCAATATTAAAATTAATTTAAAGATATTAGGTTATATTAACTAATACATACCTAATGCGATGCACGCATAATGATATTATGATTGTATTATAAATTAAATTTATAAATTATATAAAATTAGACCGGACGGGACAATTTGACTGGATGGACCTAGAACTGGTTTATTGACCGGTCAACACCAGCTAGTCAGACTGTCTAATCGTGAGAACAAACTCTCGTGAGCAAGAGACAGATCATTTTTCCCGCTAGGCTTGTGTATGTGATCCCTTCGTCCACTCAATCCCCGGAAGCCTTATGACTTCACTGCGCTTCGCTTTGTTCATTGGGTGAATTCGTTCCCTTGACCCCCGGCTACCATTTCTTCTTCTTGTCTGAACAAGGCCGTCAACGACAGATCGGAACATGGGCAATTGTGGACCGACTGACGAAGTCGGCCTGCTTGTTACCCGTGAGGATGACGATGACCATGGAGCAGTTTGTCAGTATTTACATCCGTGGGATTGTTCGACTCCACGGAGTAGCCGAGACCATAATATCAGGTCGAGATCCCCGTTTCACCAGACGTTTTTGGGAAAGCCTCAATGAGGTCATGGGAACAGAGTTGCAGTTCAATACCGCTTATCACCCGGAGACCGACGGTCAGTCAGAGCGGACCATCCAGACCCTCGAGGACATGCTTCGAGCTTGTGTACTGGACCATGGCAGTACATGGGAGGAGTTGTTGCCACTGATTGAGTTCGCGTACAACAACAACTATCATGCATCGATCAAGATGGCGCCGTATGAGGCTTTGTACGGTCGCAAGTGTCGATCTCCCTTTTGTTGGGATGAGGTCGGCGAACGGCAGGTTTTCGGTCCGAAGTTGACCGAGGACACAGTTGAGAAAGTCGCCTTAATCTGAGAAAGGATGAATGTAGCATAGGATCGATAAAAGTTCAACGCTAACAAGCGTAGGCGAGACCTCCAATTCGAGAGAGGAGATAGAGCGTTCCTGAAGATCACGACGTTGAAGGGCGTGGTTCGCTTCGGGAAGAGGAGGAAGTTGCAACCCCGTTTTATAGGCCATTCGAGATCCTCGAGCGAGTGGGCGAGGTAGCATACCATTTGGCGTTGCTTCCCGAGCTTTCGTGTGTGTACAACGTCTTTCACGTGACGATGTTGAAGAATTACGTGCATGATCCAGACCACGTGTTGAGCTACAGCGAGCTCGAGGTCGGGCCGAGCCTGACTTATGAGGAGCAACCGATAGCGATTCTGGACCGAAAGGTTCAGCGGCTGCAGAGCAGAGATGTATCACTAGTTTGAGTTCGCTGGAGGTGCCACGGCGAGGCCGAGGCCACTTGGAAGCGAGAGGAGGAGATCCGAGCTCGTTACCCAGAGTTTCAGTTCTGATTAGTACTACGTATTTTTCGATTCCTAGTTTCTAGTCGAGTCGAACTTATGTATAGTTTCGGCATTTTCGAGGACGAAAATATTTTAAGAAGGATAGATTGTAACGTCCCGAATATTTATTACTATTTATGGAGCTCGATTTTATTTCCATAAATAGCCAGTTTCCTTATTTAGTGCATTTAATTATTTTTATTTGCATTAAATCGAGTAATTAGTTTAAAGTCAAAGCCATGGAGAATTTATTCGATTTTTAATTATTAAAATTGAATTTAGTTACTCCAAGTATCGGTTTTATTTTTACGGTAAAATCGAGCCTTGAAAATAATTAGAAATATTATTAAGTTGGGCCGAAGCCCAATATTCGAGCTAGTCCAATTATTTTAGCCGGCCCCTTTAAGTTAATCGAGCCTATGTTCGATTTATTTCGGCCCATTTTAGTAAATCGAGCCCATGTTCGATTTTAATAAAAAATCGAGCCTATGTCGATTTTTCAATCCAAACCTCATATTAATTATTCGACCTACTAATTTAATTAATCTTGGTCCTGAGCGATTTTAATACCCAAACATTTAAATTCCTAAGTCTATATTCGGTTAACAAAGGCCCGATTACATAGCAAATTAAAAGTCCCGATTATGAGGCCCGACAATAGAAAACCCTAGTCTACACACCTCTATAAATACTCTTCAACTTCCATTTCATCCTCATTTCCTTCTCCTACAAAACCTAAACCACCACACTCATTTCTATCTTCCATTTTCAAGATCTATTACTAATCATTAGCAAAATCAAGAAAACAAGTCAATTTCCTAGCTCATTAGCCTCCCCTCATCACGAAACCGGCGAGCTTCACGTTTTCCGGCCAAACTGTCCGTTTTCCGGCAAGAACTCCGGCCGCCGGCGAGCCTTAGGCCAGCCCAGCTCAACCCCGTCGCGCACAGGCCCGGTCGCAGCTCCCAGGCCCGTCCAGCTCGCCTCTGCTCGCGCCCAGGCCCGTCCAGCTCGCCAGGCCCGCTCCCATCCTCTGTCCGCGCCGCTCCAGGCCCAGCCGCGCGTCCCAGCAGCAGATCCACGGCCCGAACAGCCCCAACAGCCCGCAAGCCTCATTTTCAGCAAGTCTTTCTCGTTTCGATTTTTATTTTTAGTCCATATCTAAGGTATAAGGCTGAAACCCTTCTCCATGGAATTAGATATGAATTATAGTTGATTTTAAAAATAAGTTTGAGTATTTTTGAGCTGAATATGAATTTATATGATTTTATTGGATTAAATGGATAAAAATACATAAACTATTCATGGCTAATCCGAAAATTTCCAAACCAATTGGATAAATCACATTATGATGTCTTGAGGCTTAGGCTAAAGTTTCGTGAATTTTGGAGCTCGTTTGGTATGCGAATGGAATTTGTGAATTTGGACCCATAATGTTCGATTTTTGTTAACCGAGTTAGGAGTAATATTGCTGTGATAAAATTCTCATAAATCATATGAATGCTGATGAGTATGTCTCTTTTTACCGTATTTTTAGAAATTGTTCAGTTGGATTTTAGCTGAAGTTAGATGTAAATTCCTCATAAATCATTTGAATTTAGTGTTAAAGTTTTGGCTTAAAATAAATTAGTTTACTTGGAGAACTAAAATCCTAGTTTTATCAGGTCTCGATAATTGGGTAAATTTTGGATTTGAGATTTATTGCTCGAACCCTAGTTTCGTTTAAACAACTTTAGACGTCATAAGATTATAAATGAGTCCTTGGGTGTCAGGATGTGGTCAGTCGGCCGTTAGTCGCCGACTGGGCCACAACCGAGCCTAAGAAGGCTATCGAGGTCTTGTGCCTCGAATCGATCGAAATTATCCAACCGACGTGTATTAAAACGTATTTTTAACGTGTTTTGACGTCTCGCACACGTGTTCGACCCTCGTCTGATCGTTGGAGCCGAACTATCGAGTGCGTGCCCGTGCACCGAGTCCGAGTCGAACCACCGAGTGCGTGTGCCTGTGCACCGAGTCCAAACCGAACCACCAAGTGCGTGCCCGTGCACCGAGTCCTTCCGATCTACCGTCAACGCGTGGTCCAAGCACTCCCCTGTGTTAGTGACCGTGGCACCGTTTCTGCATCGGCTAAGCTGTGTCAGCTGAGTTCGTGCCGGCCCCGAGATGCTACGCGGAACCCGGGCACGGTTAAACTAACCCGCACATAGTCAAGCGAATGATTGACCGGCTCCGAGTGAGCCGTCGGTCCAGTCCAGTCGAGCCGGTCCGGGCAGTCTGGACGATTCGAGAAATTTCAGATAGATTTTCAGATCTAGATAGATTTAAGATTTTAGATATATTGAAGATCTAGATATACTTCAGATTCAGTTAGATTAAAGATTTAATCAGATTTAAGATCCAGATATATTTCAGAACCAGTCAGATTTAAGATTTCAGTCAAATTATACTTCCAGACTTAGAAATATTTTAGAGAACTCTAGTATGTCTCAAAGACAATAATATTTTCAAAATCAGCTCGTAAACCCCTGAAATGATTTTTAAAGCCGATTGAGCGAACCTAGACAGGTCATATAATAAATTCGAGTTTTATTCTGAGCCCAGTACTTAGAATATTTTGCTCATAATTTTGTAGCTTGACGAGAGTCGAGCCTACAATAGCTACCAGATAGTTCAGATATTTCAACATTTCTAGCATTTGCATTCTCCAGCTTCTAGGTGGGGACCACTGTACTGTGTATCTCATCGCTTTGGTCTTTCAATTAAATTGAAGGATCGAGACGTGAGTGATCTGTCTTGGTCAATATTTTGGTCTTTCAATTATGACTTGAATGCATGGTGATTAGGGCCCGTCCTAAGTCGTCTTGCGCTTAGACGCTGACCTTGTGTCTTTGCTGAGTTTGCTGTGGCGCTCAGATGCTGATCTTGTGTCTTTCCTGAGTTTCTGTGGGAGGGGACCCTGAGTGTGCACATGAGTACCGGTTTACCGTTAGCCCCATAGTTAGCCCATTTTACGGTTGATTTCATGATATGTTATTAAATGTGTTGAATATTCAGTGCCGGTCCCAGTGGAGCATCGTTGACTCTTTTATGCTCACGCCTCCCCACTAACCATTTTTCACGTGACGGGGTCGAGCACGGAGCGTGAGCCGATGAGTGGTGGTGGTCATAGCGAGGATATTTTTGAGATAACATGTCATGTAGCTATTTGAACATATTTGAATTATCTTTTGTTGTTGCATTCTCATTTGTGTTTGCTTTTTGAACTTGTAGTTGCTTCCGCATTTTAGGCTTGTGTTTCAGATTCCAGAATAGTGTTTCAGATTTCAGACTAGAATTTCAATATTTAAGAATTTCAGACTACATGTGTAATTCCAGTAAAATTTCATGGCCTTAATTCTGGAATGAATTTTACTTGGCTGCATGCATAATAGATTAAAGATTAAAGAGTTAGCTTAGAGTTGAGTAGCATCCTGCAGTTAGATTAAAGTTTTTTCGAAAAAGTTAATTAAAATTTTTGAAAACTAAATCAGTGTTTCCATTAATAGCGGAAAAAATTTACTCTGATTTTAGTAAGTTTACGCGGGGTGTTACATTCTTCTTCGTTGAACGAACTTTAGCGGTTTGAATGCTTGGTTGCGGGTTGAACGCCGACCTTCAACTTGAGCGCCTTGGATCTTCAAGAACTTCTTCAAATCTTCAAGAGGGTTCTTGAGACCTCTTGAATTTGAGACTTTGATTTTTGAGGTGTGTTTCTATGAGGTCTAGATTTAGAAGGTGTTGGATTTTTTTGAGACGTGATTTGTGACTTTGAGGAAAGCCCTATTTATTAAAAATGTTTGACAAGTTGGAATCTCCCCATGTATCCCATACTCCACAATCGATATTAGAAGCTGTAAAATGAACAGTCGTGGTCCAGTACGGCAACACCAGACAATTTTAGGATAAAACAAGCATTTCACGTATGACCACAATATTTATTTAATTGTTGTTGTATTATAAATTATAGTATAACTACGCATCAAGGAAGATACTAGTTTATATCAGAAGTATAAAACAAAACTAGCAAGGTAAAGATACTCAACAGTGAGCACACAAAGAGTTGCTGTCAGATTCGACTAATGTCATTACAAAAGCTCAAGCCAACTGCTTGATGTCAGATTCGACTAATGTCATTTCAAAAGCTCGAGCCAACTATTTGCTGTCAGATTCACTTAACAGTGCACATTATATAAACATAACAACTAGATTTATCCTTACACATAGAAAAACGAAAAAAGATGGAAAAAAAAATTGAGTACTTAAAAATTCAATGTAACTTTAATATGATCATTGATTCCCTTTGGGGAAAAGTCGAGCCGATGTCCACGGTAGTCGGTAGGTAAGTTTTTTGGTGTGGAGAAGATCACCAGAGGGAGTCCACAGAACACCTATCTCACGAATTTAATAGAATTTTCTATTTTGAAGAGCTCTATGACAACATCAAAGGGTATCATATACTCAAGCGTCAACTCAGTATTAAGTGGGATATTAAACAACAGAGAACTTGTTGCGAACTCGAACAAGTCTGAAGTTCAGAAGAATAAGTCACAAAAATTCGACGTGAACTTGCTCCCATGCTTTTCAAATTGCAAGTAATGATGTTTGAAATCTTCTTTGAAGCCTTTAGCCTTTTGATTCAAGAATATGTTCGGCCAAAACCTATATAAAAAGTCAAAAGTGATATCACAGGAAAGTAACTTATATTTGAAGACTCTGTAAGTCACCTCACTCTCAATATGCCTCCGAGATGTTGGGGGTGGGGTTAATTATGAGTGGAGCCTCACGAAGTGTGTAAAATAGGGACAATCGGTTTCATTTTGAGTTGATGGAATCTATTGACCTTGTTGAACTTGTCCTCAGATTTATTGGTAATCGAAAGATTGGACAGTCATGCTCATGACGAGTTTGCCAATCCGGCGTGTCCAATCTTTCAATTTTCAATAAATCTGAGGACAAGTTCAGCAAGGTCAGTATGTTTCATCAACTCAAAATAAAACCGACTGTCCCTATTTTACACACTCCGTGAGGCTCCATTCAAAATTACCCCCACCATCTAATCCACCCCCAACATCTCGGAGGCATATTGAGAGTGAGGCGACTTACAGAGTCTTCAAGTATAGGTTACTTTCCTGCGGTATCATTTTCGACTTTTTATATCATCGGCCGACCATATTCTTGAACCCGAAGGCTAATGGTTTCAAAAAAAATTTCAAACATCATTATTTGCAATTTGAAAAGAATGGGCGCAAGCTCACGCGAATTTCTGTAACTTATTTTTCTGAACTTCAGAGTTGTTCGAGTTGACAACAAGTTCTCTGCTGTTTAATATCCCACTTAATATTGAATTGACCCTGCTGTTGCTTGAGGATATAATGTTGTTTGATGTTGTCATAGAGTTCTTCAAATAAAAAAATTATATTAAAATTCGTGAGATACGTGTTCTGTGGACTCCCTCTGGTGATCTTCTCCACACCAAAAAAATTACTTATCTTGGACATCGGCTCGACTATTCCCCAAAGGGAATCAAGGATCACATTAAAGTTACATTGAATTTTTAAGTACTCAATTTTTTTTTTTTTTCGTGTGTCTGTGTGTAGGGATTGATCTAGTTGTCGTGTTTATATAATATGCACTGTTAAAGTGAATCTGAGAGCAAGTAGTTGGCTCGAGCTTTTGTAATGGCATTAGTCGAATCTAAGTAGTTAGCTCGAGCTTTTGTAATGACATTAGTCGAATCTGACAGCAACTCTGTGTGTGTGCTGAATAGTATCTTTACCTTGCTAGTTTTGCTTTCTGATTTTGATTAAACTAGTATCTTCCTCAATGCGTAGTTATACTATAATTTATCATACAATAACAATTAAATAAATCATGTGGCCATACGTGAAGTACTTGTTATATCGTCTGGTGTTGCCGACTGGACCACGACTGTTCATTTTACAACTTCTAATATCGATTGTGGAGTATGGGATTTTGACATGGGGAGAATCCAACTTGTCAAACATTTCTCATATCCCTGGCCTGTAAATGTAAGTTCTTTTGTTAACTTGTATGTATTTTGCCGAAAATTAATGAAAAATGACTTGTTACCTTGTGGAAGATGATGAACAGACAAAAAATCAACAATATTAGTGTTATGCGCTTTGGTTGTTTGGGTTTGAAGTCTTTATTATCATTGGCTGCATGTTTAAGTTTTCAACATCGGAGTTGTTTAGAAATTTAGAAAGGACAAGACGAAACACATATACATTATAAATTCTTTGTCTTGTGTTCATGGAGATTGATTTGCAGCACAGGTGTTCATATACTTCCCTTCATTCTACTACCAATGTTTGAGTAAAAAAAATTCAGGTTTTAATGGTCTATCAAAAGCATGTGACATATTGTACAACATCTATGCATTGTATGGATGTTTGTTCTTATAACAATGCTATGTTAATTCGATTCTATTTGCAGCGTACCTGTCTGAGTACAGATGGCAAAGTCATTGCAATTGTTGGCGATAATCCTGATGAGATGTTAGTTGATTCACAACCTGGCAAGCTACCGCGTTTGTTTTCATTTTTCATTTTTTCCATTTTCTCGTGATTGAATTCTCGGTTTTTTTTTTCTTTTTTTGTGTTCTGAAAGACAATTGCACATGTCCCGCTTTCTTGATGTCATTGCTGCATTCAATTAATGCGTTAATGGGGAAAAGATTTGGTTTTATGAGGACCTGGTCAAACCCATTTTCAATCTTTGCCCATATTGAGGTTCTATTTTGATCCTGCTTCTTTGGTCACAAACATCTTCCTCTTTGTATTTTCTTTTTAATTCATCTTTTTCTGAACTTGACGCTAGTTAGGTAACATCCTGATATAATTCCCATGTTTGCTTTGCAGAGTCTATATCATGCCTGGAAGAGTCTAGATCTATTTGTGGATATTGGAAGGCTTAACATGCGTGCCAGATATTATAAGGTAAAAACATTAAATATGTACATATATCTGGCTGGTGTTGCATAACCTTAAAAGAGTTTCTTAGTCTTAGACAAGAAACACCAGCTTCTATCTTCTGAAATTTGATTCATTGATCATCCTAGTAATTATGGTGCTGTTAAAATCTGAGTTATTGAAGAGTAATGTCGTATTTTGGATATAGACAGAATGAGATTTGCTACATTTCAGGAAATAGCTGAGTTGTATGAGCAAGAACAAAACTTGGAACAAGCTATTGTTTACTATGATAAAGCTGCTGATCTTTTCCAAAGTGAAGACATGACGACTTCTGCGTATCAGTGCAAGCAGAAAGTTGCGCAGTATGCAGCTCAGTTGGAACAGGAAAAGTCAAGTCTGCCTGCTCTCTTTGCATCATTACCCAGATGACTTACTGATGTTTTTAGTTCATACATGTAGCAGCACTATTCATTTCTTGTTAATGCTCTGTTTACGCTTCGGGTCTTCAAGTACTCCCTCCTTCGTTATTTATTTGTTTTTTCTTTTCTTTGTGGCTGTATGATTTCCATGGTTGACTCTCATTGAATATTAAGTGCAATTGAATATGAAAAAAAACAACTCTCACTTGAAAAGTATTTGTGAAAAAGTTAGTTATTTTTATAATTTGAATTGATGTAAGGTGAAAAGGTAAGAGTTAATTGTGATTTGTTAGTTAGTAAAAAAAATGATTGACGGATAAAATATTTGTGGCTGAATAGTAAATTTTATAGAGAAATTTATAGTATTGATTGATTATTATTGAAAAATTATATTGATAAAATTGATGAGGAAAAAGTGAGATAGATAACTAGTTTATTTTTTCTCTATGGCATATAAAGGTCCCATTGATCGATATCCAACTGCACCTAGAAGGTATCATTTTCTAGGGAACTTTTGTTTCATCATTTGCCTCTTCGACTAAATCTTCATTTGCTTACGAATCATACATGTGGTTCAGAAGACAAGAATCTGATGATTTCTGCTGCTGAGCAACTCCATGACCATTGACTTATTGTTATTCCAGGATTGTATACATCTCTATTTTCTGCTGCTGAGCAGCTCCATGACCATTTATGTTCTTTACTTGCTTAATTTAATTTTGGGTAATGAAATACTAGGCAAAATGCCTCAAGATCTGTTTGTCAGACTTTTACTTGGATTCCTCTTGCTGAAAATTGTCAAACGTGTGGTGGAACAAATTCAGGAAAATAAGTTCAAAGTTATGTTCATGCTTTATCTTGAATAAAAATTGAATTTGTGCTGAAACTGGGTTAACGTTTTTTCTCAGATATCCAAAGGCCATCGAGATCTATGAAGATATAGCACGACCGACAGTCACTCAATAACAACTTGCTGAAGTGCGGAGTAAAAGAGCACCTTCTCAATGCTGGAATTTGCCAGCTGTGCAAGAATGATATCGTTGCTATCAACAATGCATTAGGCCAATATCAGGTACATATGTTGTTCTCATATCCACTGCCAGTTCTGTTTTTTGTAATTAATATAATACACGGTAAGGAGAATCTTTTGTTCTTCATTTGCAGGACCTCGATCCAACATTTTCCGGAACACGTGAGTACAAATTGCTAGCAGTATGCTGTGGTGTTCTCAATCATTAGTTATGTTTCCTCTTTGAGAAAATTACAAATTTGGTCCCAGAACTTTTGCTATTTCCCACATTTGGTCCCAGGTACGCCAATTATGGTCCTTTTTAACTTTTCGTTGCCAAAATGGTCCCACTCCGTCAAGACTTAACGGTCAACGTTTATAACCTGAGACCAAATGTGGGAAACAACAAAAGTTTTTTGACCAAATTTGCAATTTTTGTCAAAGAGTAAGTGATAAAAATTATTTAAATTATTTTTATTAGAAACATTTTTTTAAAAAGATTTTAGTAAATGTTAAAAAGGTATATTACCATTATTTCCTAACAATACATTTAGTTTATTTTTTAATAAATTATAAAAGATAAATATAACTAACATACAATTCTTTCACATTTTTTTAACTTAAATTAAAGTTTAACTTGATTTTTTTACGTAAAAATGATTATTTAATTGGGTAACTTAACAAAAGATGTATAAAATAATTTTATTAAGTAGTTCATAATAAATGAGATGGAAAAAAAAATATATGATATATTTTACTATAAATAAGTGAGAGCAAATGTCTATTTTCACTTAATTTAATGCCAAATTTTGTTTTATTATGCTTAAAATTGAAATTTTTTATGTAGATGTAATTTGCATAAAAATAGATTTTTCAACTTATAGTTGTCAAAATCAAATTGATAAATAAAAAATTATTAAAATAAAAGACAGTAATAAAAAAAAATGTTTAGATTGGTTTTTTTTTTTTAATTCGTATTATTTAATAAAGTTTGTAAGGATATATATAAATTATCACATTATACTAATATTTAAAAGTGTAGAAAAATTAGTATTATTGTAAACATACTCACATTTTTTCTTATTTTGATAAATTGGATTATGTCTTTTGGTTTGCTTTATTTAATTAAAATAATATTATTTCTAAATATTCTTTAATTTAAATAATATTCAAATAATTGCCAATATTTTTTAAGTAATGACGGTAAAAATATTAGAAAATAAAATAAATACCACACAATTAGCAATTATATCGTTTACTTTTCCACCCAAAATTAAAATTTATCAACGCCTTTACTTTTCCACCCGATATTTATTTTTATAAAATTATTTTTAATATTTATTTCTCCCATCATATTCATAGTAAATTAATTTTATTATGTCAGCTTTGAGTGAATGAGAGAGACTTGAAGAACTTGAAGAACTCATTTTTTTTTTGAAAAATTGCAAAATTGGTCCCAAAATTGCAAAATTGGTCCAATCTAACGTCCTCACATGAGCCCCGTCAATCTTGACGGACGTGGGACCATTTTCTAAACGAAAATTCAAAAAGGATCATAATTGGAGTGTCTGGGACCAAATGTGGGAAACAAAAAAAGTTTTGGGACCAAATTTGCAATTTTCTCTTTCCTCTTTTCTTAAGTTTTTAAATATATTTTAACTGCTCCATTGATGAGGAAGGTATGGCCAAGTTTACAGATGCAGTCAAGGATTTTGATAGCATGACCCAGCCGGTAAGTGTGGATTATTTACCATTTTTATCTTGTTCAATTATTTAGAACTTTTGGGATGTTGGTTGAACTCACCTAATCTATCTTTTCTGTAAAAACTGATTCCCTCCAAACCTGCCTGTGAATAGATTATTGTATTCTAATTCTATTCATTATTCATTTTTTTCCTCCCTTTTGTAGAAAATAACTCCTCTTACTTACAAGGTGCTGTTGCTCCTTTGAGTTTAGATTAGAAATTGAACTTCTTTTTCGGTTTAATTGATATGGATGTGTATGTTTTTGGACATCACATTTCGCATAGAAGGTTGGATGAAAGTGAGAATGAAATAATTGTAACGTAAGCAATTATTTGTAAGTCGTAACGTAGTTATAATACTTTTTCACTAATTATGCACACTTTCATACTCGGATATCAAATTTAAAAACATAAACAAAAGTATGACATTTCACATTTTAAAGTATGCATCTTTGTTCAGAATGTATTTGACCCATCTTACCATTAAGCTGCATGCATGCTTATGGTATATGTAGAATCATGAATAAATCTGTTCCGAAACATCTGATTGGTTTGCGTAGTTTATGAATTCAAATAATAATAGTGCTTGCTAATGTTTTTCATCGCTTTTTGTTTGTTTGTTAGGATGCTTGGAAGACAACATTACTATTGAGAGTGAAGGAAGCCTTGAAGGCCAAAGAGCTTCAGGAAGATGATCTTACTTAAAAAACCCTCTTTGCCCTTTTCATGTGATAGCTTCAAGCTTTGATTTGATTCAGTTGATTTGACTCTATATAACTTGTGGCTTGCGAGCTATTTCTACTTGATTTCCTTATTTGGAGTGAATATGATTTACATGCGTAAAATTAAATCTAGACAAGACTTTTTTATTGTAATATAAACAAATATATGAAATGTATTTTTATTAAAAGGGTATGACTAGTTCATTATACAACAATTTGTGTTATTCAAGATGTTCTTGTGTCTGCACTTTCTCAATTTGAATGATGCATTTTCTACAATTCGGTTACTTACGCCGTCGCTTACTTTTCTAGGCTTGAAAAAGCAATTATCAAATTTTATAATGCCAGAAATTAACTGTATGAGTGTATTTAAGTTGTTTTTTCAAAAAGGTATCGCATGTCTTCAGTAAAGGAGATAATGACTGGACACTCTTCCAACTCAAGTGTGACCGTTGCTAGTTGAGTTTGTAACATGAGGTGTGTGTTAGCTTTGTGGCCATATGTAGATAGATATCTTGATTTTGTTATGAGAAGAGATAATGTCTAATTTCTGTTTGATTTAATTAAATTGAAGGGTGACTATGGGCTGACTTTATATTTGATATGTGTGACTCTGATGCGAACCGAGGATTCGGGCTCAATGAAGTATATGAGCGGGAGTAGTTTATTTTAGTTATGTTAGTTATCTATTTAGAAAGATTAATATGTAAGTTATAATTTGAATTTGAATAGTTAGTTAGTTATGATTTGAATATTAGATTTAGGCTATAAATATCCATGTACTCTGGAAGAAGAAGTTTAATGAAATAAGAAATAAGAAAAAGGCTTGTTTTTGAATACTTTCTTCGTGAAAAACCAAGGCCCATAGTGCGGACTTATTAATGTGTAAATCAAGGCCGTCAATACAGGTTTACACATTTTATCGTGTTCGAACCAAGGCAGTTAGTGCGGGTTCTTACACAAAATCGAGTCTCGATACACGATCTTCATCATTGGTGCTTACATTGAGAGTGATCGATCGTGTATTTATCTATCTATCTTCTGTTTGTTTTGTTTTAGTAAAAGAAAAAAACAAAAAAAAAAAAACTTTGATTCTTGGTGAAGAGTGTGTGAGTGTCGGGTAAAAAAAAGAAAAAAAGTTGTTCGAAAAAGTGGACGAGATGAAGTGTGAGGATCTTGCTATTTTGAAAGGGTTGAAAAGAAAGTTAACTCGAACCGAGTGGAGGTACTTGGAGGAGTTTCTTTTGGAGGGGGACGATGCGGATCATGAGAAGGAGATGCCTCGGTTGATGCTCGGTGATGAGTCCTTGAGGACAAGGACAAACTCGAAGGGGGAAAGAATGATGCGAACCGAGCATTCGGGCTCAATAAAGTATATGAGCGGGAGTAGTTTATTTTAGTTATGTTAGTTATCTATTTAGATATATTAATATGTAAGTTATAATTTCAATTTGAATAGTTAGTTAGTTATGATTTGAATATTTGAATTATTAGATTTAAGTTATAAATATCCATGTACTCATTATTGTAAGGAAGAAGAAGTTTAATGAAATAAGAAATAAGAAAAGGCTCGTTTCCGAGTACTTTCTTGGTGAAAAACCAAGGTCCATAGTGCGGGTTTTTCACTTATTAATGTGTAAATCAAGGTCGTCAGTGCGGGTTTACACATTTTATCGTGTTCAAACCAAAGCCGTTAGTGCGGGTTCTTACACAAAATCGAGTCTCGATACACGATCTTCATCTGCTAAAATCCGATCTTTATTAATGTTGTATATAAAGAAAATTTTAATAATATTTAGAATTTTTTTCTAAATTCATAATTTTTTATGTATTAAATTATGATTTTTAATTTTTGTCTCTATCTTTTTATTGTTTTATCTTCTAATAACCTCTCTTCCGTGCAAATGTACAGGTTGATTACTTGTTTAACTGGTAATTTCAAGATATTATTTTATGAGGTTATAAATCTAATGCCATCAATGGTAAATTTAAATATTTGATCCGTTTTTGGGTTGAATTGAAAACCCAAAAATTTGTATCGGCTACAAATTTAATTCCGGTCGTTGCATGATTAAGGATCAAGATTAACTTGACCGGATCGATTGATGGGCCCAACCCAAAATTGATGGATGAGGGAANATGGGCTGACTTCATATTTGATATGTGTGACTTATTTTTTTATTTTTTTTTTTAAATCTGAATTTATAACTACTGATATATTATTATAACTACTTGTTTTTTGTTTTAAATAGAATATAAAAGATATTATTTATTATTTGTTTTGATAAATTAATAGTTTAGTTTTGAAAGGAGTCTAGCATTAATGAAATTCTAATTCCCAATCTTTATTTTTAGATGGGTAGTTATGAATTTTTCCGTGTGTTAAATGTATAGAGGAGTACTATTTTTGTTCCGGCAGAGAGATAGAGATGGCGTCGTTGAATCTTAACCCAAACCCGTTATTCAAACCGTCATCTTTCCCCGTCGGTTGGAATAATAACCCGTTATTCAAACCTTCATCTTTCCCCGTCAGTTGGAAGAATAAGAAGAATAAGAGTAAGTTAAATTTGTGTAAAACATTCTCTATCACCAATGACAAATGGTTGCATACAAGTTTGTTTCAATCGAAGAGGAGGAGCAAGTTTATTATTGGGCGGTACCCATACCCAAGGATGGAAGACATGAATTACGTGCTAGTTTCAATCGACAAAGAGAATTTGGAGCCCACAATATTAACTAAGATCGATACTCTCTTTCCTCATCGTAACTTTCTTCCATATGATGCTTCCAATGGTTTGATTTTACTTTTGTATGATAACATTTATGGTAAAGATGCCGACATTGCCCAAGAGGCTCTTTGGAATCCCACAACCAACGAAATCAAAATCCTTCCTCCATCTCCCGCAACCTTGGACCCGGGTAATAAATCAATAATTGTTTCAAAATATTTATTTTCATTCTCTTTTAGTATTGTTATAGAGTGTAAGTTTTTTAATTGTAACGTTAAGTTCATTATAACTCAATGTGATCCACATGTTTTTGTATTTGATTGTGGTTGGACAATTCTTTTTAGTTTAAATTTTCATTTCTTGTATTGTTTTTTTTAGAAGAATTTGGAAGTANTTGGAAGTATGTCATTTTTTAAAACAACATTTATGCTCTATGAGGTGAAATAACAGGTATGTGAAGACAATCCACAATTATTTTGGTTTCGCCTATGATTCCACATCTAACGACTACAAGGTGATAAGATTTCTGCGAAGATCTGATGATTCGAGTTGCTCCCTTGCCTTGGCCGAATTATATTCTCTCAAGACTAACTCATGGAAACGAGTCGACTTTCGACCTTACAGCTTCCATCCGTGGGGTGATCCATTCGCAAAAATTAACGCAAATGGCACTTATTACTGGTTAAACAACGTAGACCACAATTTTATCCAGTCTTTTAACTTTGCTACCGAGAAGTTTGATTCATATCGTGTTCCTATGCCCCCGAGCGACATGTTTAAGAGACATAAATTTGGACCTAAATTTTGTCGTAAGAAGCTCGTTGAATATCGAGGCTCGATCGGTTTTTTGGCTAAGACATCTAAGTTCATAGGCGACGTGAATTATAGTGTTTTTGAACTTTGGGTGTGGGACGACGCCAGTTTGTTGTGGCGCCTAGAGTCCACGTTTCTCGTCAATAAGATGCGTAGTTTTATGGGCCTCTTTGAGAATGATAAGTTGTTTTATCTACGGTCGGGGGTGATCTAATGGTCCAAGATTGTGTAATGAATACGGTGATGAACCTATCAAATGTCTGTACTCATCTGGTGGGCAAGGTATACCCTTTTGTTGAGAACTATGTTTCGTTGAGCTCGTATGGAAAATGATTAGAGACGGCCTATTTGATTATAATATGGCTTTTATGATATGATATTACTTTTATCTTTCTTTTCTTTATAGGAAGTGCAATATTTTGGAAGGAATTTGGTGTTTGGTAACAACTTGTTGTCCTTGTTTACTTGTGTAATTTTGATCAATGGTTAAAAGTAATATTTTTATTTATAGTCTTTTTTAAAGTGTGTTGTTTGTGTATAAAAATGTGCATGTTGAATTAAAAAAGTATGATTGTCTAACAGTAATGATCGTTAGTATGTGGCCTAAAGAACTAGTCAAATGAAAAAAGAATAATTGTCCCCACCGCAGATTCTCGCTGCATTCGTTGATCCTCGTCTCCGACATGGTGAGGATTTCGTGGGCAGGGGCGGAGCCAGGATTTAATATCTACCCGGGCTAAAACCATTTTTATGAAAATCCACATACCTCATAAATAAATTTTAATAGTGACCAACTAAAAACTAAATTAGACCAAAATAAAAATTAAATTACTTAATAAACTTTAAGTATGATCAACTAAACATTAAGTTAGTCCTAGAGAAACACAACATAAAAAATAAATTACTTAATAAACATTCAGTATTAATTATATTTAATATGAAGCATATAAACTGAAAAATGAACAAAATAAGATAAATTTAGGATATAATTAATAAGCAAAAGACCTTTCAAACATAAATGAATTTTATAATTAGAATATGAATTATTGTATAAATTACATATAAATGGTGAACTCAGTATAAAATATAAATTAATGTAAAACAAACATAAATTTTATATAAGGAGACTCAATATTTACTTTTATAAATATCCTTAATAAATAACCTATACTTTATGTCCAAATAAAGGCCTACTCCTCTAATCACAATTCAATTTGTTATCAAGCACATAACCCACTGTTGAGTATATTAATTTGTGGATAGATAGTAACCGAGCTACCAAGACTCAGGTTGTTTTCAAAGGAAGACTATTCGGAGTTTTGTTCGCTAATCGGTTGTCCAAAACACAAAACGAGAAAACATGACCTAAGCATTCTAATCAATGAGCTTGAGATGATGTTAAACTAATTAGGACTAGAAAATTAGAGCAATTAAGAGAAACGAGCAAAACGAGAGAATATAGCAATTAACACTACCGGAGTCTCTATGCCATCGACACAAAACACAAACAACAAAGAGAAATATGCAAACCCTAAACACTAGTAATTAATACTAACTTTTTAACCCTAAAAGTAATTAAGCTCTAATTAGCGTCTCAACCATTAATCTAGATAGGCAAACAATTAATCCCTACAATCACTTAGGCAAGCAATAAAACAATAGCATCCAAACTTCCCATCCTCCATCAACCAAACACCCAAATATACTTTGATAAGCATCATAAGTAAAAACGAAGCAAAAGTGAAGTATTGAGGTTTAGAATTAAATACACAATCTTCTATTGCGTGCTAGACGAGATTCGGATTCAAAAGCTTGAAAATTGAACTAAAACAAAAATATCGGAAAATAATGTCATAGAGCTCCAACAGAAAAACTATAGAGAGACAACTAAAAACTACAGAGCTTTTCCCAAAGTGGAAAAGTGGAAAATTAATTCTAGATGTCCCAAATACAAAAGGCTAAATGTATTTATACTAAGTAGCAAAAACACGCACTAAACACACACATTTAGTAAACACACTCGCCCAAATTTATCCCGGCGAAATCCGAGCGCGTGTAAAATCTCATAGGCACGCACTCGCCTACGTTTCGCCGGGCGAAATGCCGTGCGAGTGCTAGTTTCATAGGCGCGTGCAGACTCACCCAGTTTTCGCTCGGCTAAATGCCGGGCAAGTGTAAAATCTCATAGGCATGCACTCGCCCATATTTCGCCCGGCGAAATGCCGTGCGAGTGCTAGCTTCATTGACGTGTGCAAACTCGCCAAATTTCCGCCCGGCGGAATGCTGGGCGAGTGTAAAATCTCATAGGCACGCACTCGCCTATGTTTGGTCCGACGAAATGCCGTGCGAGTGCTAGCTTCATAGGCGCGTGCAGACTCGCCCAGTTTCCGCTTGGCGAAATGCCGGGAGAGTGCTCATGTGGCTTCGGGCGAAATTTGGTTCACCCGGCGAATGTCGGGTGAGTGTAAAATCTAATAGGCACGCACTCGCCCATGTTTTGTTTGCCCGGCGAAATGCCGAGCGAGTGCTAGCTTCATAGGCATGTGCAGACTCGCCCAGTTTTCGCGCGGCGAAATGTCTGGCGAGTGCTCTGTGGTTTCCGACGAAATTTGATTCGCCCAGCGTTGTAAAATCTCATAGGCACGCACTCGCCCATGTTTCGCCCGACAAAATGCGGTACGAGTGCTAGCTTCAAAGACGTGTGCAGACTCGCCTAGTTTCCGCCTTGCGAAATGCCAGGCGAGTGCTCATGTGGCTTTGGCAGAAATTTGGTTCACCCGGCAAATGACGGGCGAGTGTAAAATCTCATAGGCATGCACTCGCCCATGTTTTGTTCGCCCGGTGAAATGCCGAGTGAGTGCTAGCTTCATAGGTGCGTGCAGACTCGCCCAGTTTTCGCCCGGCGAAATGCCTGGCTAGTGCTCATCTGGCTTCCGGCGAAATATGGTTCGCCCGGCGTTGTAAAATCTCATAGGCACACACTCGCCCATGTTTCGCGCAGCGAAATACCGTACGAGTGCTAGTTTCATAGGCGCGTGCAGACTCGCCCAGTTTCTGCCTGGTGAAATGTCGGGCGAGTGCTCATGTGGCTTTGGTCGAAATTTGGTTCACCCGGCAAATGATGGGCGAGTGTAAAATCTTATAGGCACACACTCGCCCATGTTTTGTTCGCCCAGTGAAATGCCGGGCGAATGCTAGCTTCATAGGCGTGTGCAGCGAGTGCTCATGTGGCTTCCGGCGAAATTTGGTTCGCTCGACGTTGTAAAATATTACAGGCACGCACTCGCCCATGTTTCGCCCGGCGAAATGCCGTGCGAGTGCTAGCTTATAGACGCGTGCAGAATCGCCCAGTTTTCGCCCGGCGAAATGCTGGGCGAGTGCTCATGTGGCTTCGGGCGAAATTTGGTTCGCCCAGCGAAATTTCGGGCGAGTGTAAAATCTCATAGGCACGCACTCGCACATGTTTCGCCCGGCGAAATGCTGTGCGAGTGCTAGCTTCATAGACGCGTGCAGACTCGCCCAGTTTCCGCCCGGCAAAATGCCGGGCGAGTGCTCATGTGGCTTCCGACGAAATTTGGTTTGCCCGGCGTTGTAAAATCTCATAGGCACGCACTCGCCCATGTTTCGCCGGGCAAAATGCCGTACGAGTGCTAGCTTCATAGGTGCGTGCAGACTCGCCCAGTTTCTACCCGGCGAAAAGCCGGGCGAATGCTCATGTGGCTTCGGGGGAAATTTGGTTCGCCCGCCATAATGCCGGGTGAATGCTCGGGATCTCGGTGGACATCTCTCGGGTCATTTCATTGCTCTCGGACTCCAAGGGAATTTGTGCTAGACATTCTCGGAAATGGACGGAGATGACATGCTCGATTTCTCAACTCGCGTGCTCGAGACTCGGCTCGATTCCTACAATCGGACCTATAAATACCAAAAGACACGGGAAAGTACGCCAAAAACACAAAAACATCAAAAACAAATAAAAACACGCGAAACAACTAAAATGGACAGGTTGAACAAGAAAACGACCTAGAACCGACTCAACTAAGCACATAAAACACATAAAAATAAGCACAAAACCCAACAAACACCCACTAAATCAAAACTTGACCAAAAAAAAAATGGTAAAACATGTTAGGTTTTCATATGCCACCGGGCTAATTTTTTTTTTTTCAAGAAAAGGAAGAAAATTGTATGTTGTGCTCCTTTTAAATTGATGACTGCCTGAGGGGCACCCGGGCTATAGCCCACTAGCCTAGGCATAGATGTGAGTACCTCCGCCCCTGTCTCGTGAGTTGCGTCGAGATAAGGGCCTTCGACCCTAGTCGGGGCTGAGTTAGACCAAGGAAAAAGTATATTGCAGACCTCAACACATTTTTTTTGTACAAACTCAAGTTGTAATTCACAGAAGTATATTGTAGACCTCATCAAACTAGGCAAAACAAATCTGTTTCTCAAACAGAACCCTCTTAGTAGAGCAAATACCACAATTCTACTATTCCAAACCAAATAAATAAGAAAAAAGTGCACAAAGAAAGGGTAAACTACGCGAGTTGAGCTAAACAACTTCTCATTTTATACTGGGGAATCATTCATACCTTGGTCCTCGGCATCTGAGGGATTTTCGTTTTCATTTTCTACATTTTCCTCAACTAATAAATTGTCATCAGTGGGTTCTAGCATAGTGATGAGAACCGAGCCAATCGAGCAAACCTGGACAAAGACCTGTTGTTTCTGCAACAGTTAATTTCAGTTTCCATTCAAATTATTTGAGTGTTGTGCATGATGGTTTTGCAAGTTAGTTTCATGCAGTTTGTGTTAGTTTATTAGCTTTTGTTTTCAAATTTTAAAATCAATAAGTTAGTTATCCATTTTAAAAGCACGCAGGTTAGTATTGAAGAGTGGGGTTTGTTCTTAAAAGACTATTGTACTCTCATTTGGGATTATTATGAAATAGCAAATAAGAAAAAGCTCGTTTTCGAGAAAAATATTTGTGTCAACCGACGGCCGTTATTGTGGGTTTACACATTTCGAACCAAGGCCGTTAGAGCAAGTTCTTACACAAAACCGAGTCCCGATACACTTCATCACATAGCCGCTGCTCTTNAAAGATATTGTTTATTATTTGTTTAGTTAAACGAATAGCTTAGTTTTGAAAGGAGTCTAGCATTAATGAAATTCTAATTCCCCGTTCTTATGATACAAATTTTTATTTTTAGTTCGGTATTTATAAATTTTTCCGAGGAGTATTATTTCTCTCCCGGCAAGATAAAATATGGCGTCGATAAATCTGAACCCAAACCCGTTATTAAAACCTTCATCTTTCTCCGTCGGCCGGAAGAAGAACCCGTCATTCAATTTCAAACCTTCATCTTTCCCCATCAGTTTGAACAAGAATAATAAGAGTAAGTTAAATTTGTGCAAAACTTTCTCTATCACTGATGACAAATGGTTGCATACAAGTTTGTTTCAATCGAAGAGGAGGAGCAAGTTTATTATTGCGGAGCAGCACCCAAGTAAAGAAAAATACAGAGACTTCAGTTACGTGGTAGTTTCAATCGACAAAGAGGATTTGGAGCCCAGATTATTAAATAAGATCGATAGTCCTGATCGTGTCTATCTTCCACATGAGTCTTGCAATGGTTTGATTTTACTTTTGTATGATGGCATTTGGAGTAGTGATCCAGAAATTGCCAAAGAGGCTCTTTGGAATCCCACAACTAATGAACTCAAAATCCTTCCTACATCTCCCGCATCCTTGGACCCTAGGTAATAATTCAAAAATTGTTTTGAAATATTTATTTTATTTAACATCCAAAATGGATCAAATTAAGTTATAGAGGAGCGTAAGCCTTTCAATCGTAATGCTAAGTTCAATATAACTTAATGTGTCCACATATTTTTTTCTTTTTTTTTTCTCTTTTTTTTTTTTTGTATTTGATTGGNTCTTGTATTTTTTTTTCAGGTATGAAACGAGTAACCACAACTATTTTGGTTTCGGGTATGATTCCACGACTGATGACTACAAGGTGATAAGATTTCTGATGAAAAGATCCAATTTGAGGTGCTCCCTTGCCGTGGCCGAATTATATTCTCTCAAGACTAACTCATGGAAACGAGTCAACTTTCGTCCTTACACCTTCCATCCGTGCGGTGATCCATTCATGAAAATTAACGCAAATGGCACTTATTACTGGTTAAATAACGTAAACCACAATGTAGACCGCAATTTTATCCAGTCTTTTAACTTTGTTACCGAGAAGTTTGAGTCCTATCGTGTTCCTATGCCCCCGAGAGAGAAGTTGGAAAAATTTTGTCATAAGAGGCTGGTCGAATATTGTGGCTCGCTTGGTCTTTTGGCTTCAACTTGCGTGTTGGTAGACGACGTGAAGCATTATGGTTTACAACTTTGGGTGTGGGACGACGTGAGTTTGTCGTGGAGCCTAGAGTCCACGTTTATCGTCGATAAGATGCGTTCTTTTATGGGCCTCTTTGAGAATGATAAGTTGTTTTATCGACAGCCGGGGGGTGATTTGACAGTCCAAGATTGTGCAATGGATACGGTGATGAACATATCGAATGTCTGTACTCATAAGGTGAACATAGTATTCCCTTTTGTTGAGAATTATGTTTCGTTGAGCTCGCATGGAAAATGATTAATTAGAGATGGTTGGGACTTGGGAGAGGTATTTGATTATAATATGGCTTATATGATATGATATGATATTACTTTATCTTTATTTTCTTCCTAAGAAGTGCAATATTTAGGGATTTGGTGTTTGCAAATAACTTGTTGTCCTTGTTAACTTTGTATAATTTTGATCAATGGTTAACGTAATATTTTTATTTATAGTATTTTTTTAAGTATGTTGTTTGTGTATAAAAATGTGCATATTTAATAAAAAAAAAAAGTATGGTTGTCTAAACGTTAGGTTTGCCTACTCAATCCATGGAATGGCAGTACCATGTGGCCTAAAGAACTAGTCCAATAGATTCATGCTTTGGTCGTGTGGTGCAATCCTAGTTAGTCGTTGGTCACGTGGTGCAATCTTAGTTAGTCGTGACTACACTGGAGTTTCTGGTTCGTTACTAGGGTTGGAGTTTCATCCGAGTGGGCTGTCGCCTCAGGGAGTCGAGTCGCGGTTTAATGCAGTTTGTTTGCTAGCTGAGAAGAGGATGTTAGTCTATTATCAAGTGTTTTGTGTTGTGTTGTGTTAGTGGTTTCTATTATTTTGCTTGGAAGTTTTTTTAGTCTCCTCTCTTCTAGGAGTTCTTATTCTCTTCGGGTGTGAGTTTCTTATCCCGTTTGTTTCGTGGATGTGTTAGAGTAGTTCACTAGGTCTTCGTCGTTGTTTGGGTTCATTCCTAGATTCAGCTAGATGGTTCTTTGACTTATTCTAGTTATTGACTAATTATAATTATGTATTTTTATTTTATAAAATAATAAATAAATAAATAAATAAATAAACTGATTGAAAGTATTAGGCGTTAGAAGGTTCAAAAAAATCACCATAATAAGGCCTTCAAAAATAATACTACAAAATCAATTAGGGAAACCAAACCAAAATGGAGGTGAGCGAAAAATACTTCCATCACACTCTTTTATACAAACTGAAGTCGTAATTCACAAAAGTAGACCTCATCAAAACAAGGCAACAACAAATCTGTTTCTCAAACAGAACCCTTTTAGTAGAGCAAATACCACAATTCTAGGCTTCCCAAAAAATATACACAAAATGAAAAAGTGCACACACAAGTTGAGCAAAACTTCTCTGGCCTCCCCATCTGAGGGACTTTTGTCTTCATTTTCTACATTTTCCCCAACTAAACTGTTTTCAATGGATTCTAGCATAGCCGCCACTCGTTTTTTCAGAGCCCTTTTTTAATTCCTGGAAAGGGTTATTAAATGAAGTCGAGAAGTTGACTGTGTATTCAACTGTTGTTTCTCTTGTCCTGCTTCATGAGTTGCGCCTTTGTTTCCACTGAGCTGGGTATACCTGAACCGAAAAAGAACATATTTCTTCGAATAATGTGGGAAAAGTTGAAACATTATGCATCAGGATGTAGCAGGTCTCAGTTGGCCCCTGCTAAACTTGGGAGGATTTTTCTTCGCAACATCGACTGTAATCATCCAACCATTGATGATCTGAAAGCGCGCAAAGAATGAAATCAGTTTCATATTATTTTTTTTTGGAAATGACAAGCCATCTTAAGGTAGCAAAACTACACATGCCCGATTGAAGTATCACAAATAAGGCCTTAAAAAGTTGGTTTTAATTTCACTAATACCACACAGCCAATAGATGAAAGTTTAAAACAAATAAACAATTGAAATATGGCATTTGTGACTTTGAAAAATAGTTTTCTCCTTTTGACTTAAGTTGAACGTTAAATGGAGCTTTTTCGTGATTCACACCCAAGAAATCATCAATGGCACCTTACCTTCCCGTTCATTTCTCTTAGAGCGGTACTAGCAGCCTCCTCAGTGGTGTACTCCAAAAAGGCATAACCTTTGGACCTTTTGGAAATCTTGTCCATTATGACTTTAACTGGTTGACAATTGAAGAGAAGTAGATGAACAAATTGAGTCGTATACTGTTAACATTCTAAATGGGGAACAGTTTCTTGTTAGGCTACGGTTTTTTGTACCTTCCACAAGTTCACCGAAACCTTCAAATGCTGCACGTAAGGTTTTCTCAGATGTATAGAAGGATAGACCTGCAGAGGCAGATAGAAACTGCTTTCAGCTCGGCTGATTTGAAAACGAACATTATGTTTAGACAGATTGCTTGGCACAATAAGTGAAATGTATCTAGTGTCCAATTATTACACTCTTGTTTCTTTTGGAAAAACCAAAAAGAAAAACAATTAAAAGAGCTTTGGGAATTAAAATTCAAGACCATATTTATGAAATTACAGTAGACCATCAATCATCATCACTAGCAAAGACAAGCGCTGTAACATGATGAATTTCAAACGGAAAAGCAGAAAAGAGATTTTACGAATGCATCAGTTGCAGTATACCTGTCACAAAGAGCTTCTTTGTTTTAATATTGCTTGTTAGATTTGATGCTGAAGATTCTTCCGAGGCTCTAAAACTCTCACCTGCGAGATGATAAGCATTATTGTAGCTGAAAAGCCGTTAATACCAAGAAGGGAGTGTTACAATAAAAATATTATAGCAGCCACAAACAAAATTTTCCCAAGCACAATAATTTTAAATGTAAATAAACTCTGACACCATAAACAAAGTCAGGAAAGGTATTAATGTTAGCAAACCTCCATAATCCTTAATATCAGAGCCGAAATTTTCATCTTGTTCAACTGATAGGACAGCAGGCACAGCTGCAACAACAAGGATATCTACTGTCACATCAAAGGTTACAAAACAGATTTGATAGTTCATTTTGAGCATAGGTTACGAACCAAGTAACTCTCGAGCACACTCATCATCTAGCTCACAGCAGAAACCATAGTTGGATTCCCACGAAACATGATACATACACATCTGAGCATCTTTCTCACTGTAAAAAAGTAAAAACAATAGTATTCACTCACCAAGTACACTCAAAGGTAAGAGAGAATAAAATTGGTGTGAGAAAATCATTCACAGTAAGTTAAATCATAAATCTAATACTCACTTCCTCAAAACTCTCATTAGGACTTGCACATAATAATCAACGATTTGGGCCTTTCTAATGGCTCCAATTGCTGGTCGGTTCATTCGAACGAGCCAGTGTTTAGTAGTGCCAGCAGGAAACAGTAATGTTCTTCCATTAAAAGGGCTGTTTGTTAATTCAGCAGTCAATTCAAACTTTGGCAAGCTGTAATCTTTCTGTGTAGAATCTAAATCAGGATCTGGTTTAACTGTCAACACTCCAGGCACACCTACGATGCACCAAAAGTAAGAATTCTTCACAAGAATTAACTCTACATATACAAACAACAAAAGCAATTAAAATAAAACTAATAAAAATTCACTTAGTGAGAGACATCACTTCTCTTTCTATAACTATAAAATTCAAGAAAAATGAAAAATGGTACAACAACACTGTAAATCAATTGTTACTTGCTAGTGCCTGAGCTGTTTCTTCATCAATGTCACAGCAGAAACCAAAATGGGTATCACAGGAAGCATCATACATACACCTCTGAGCATCTGTCTCACTGGAAAAAAAGATCCAAAACCTAACAATTAAATGCATGTTTCACAAAAGGGGAAAAAGAAAAATATTGCACCATGACAAGACAGCAAAAACAGCAGCAATGACGTTCACTAATTGAGTTATATCATCAATCCTGAGCAGAGACGAAAAAAAAACTAATGGTGCCCCAAACATCATACTACTCGAAATCTATTTATGTTCAGCTCTTTCAAGGTCAATCTGCTTATAAAATCTATTTATGGTGCACCCATAATGATCAACAAACAAGTGGATAAAATCAAATTCAACTCATATAAAAGTTCAATTCTTCAAAACTTTCAAGACCTCCGACCTTCCCAAGACGGTCTCAAGCTTGCGCACAAAGTAATCAATTACTTCGGATTTTGCAGTGATTTCTTGGGGAGGATCTTCGACAAGCACCATCCAATGCCGATTACCATAACCAGAGCCATTGTCTCCGAAAGGGATAGTCGAAGAAGATAAAGTCGAGCTGGTTTGTGCTCTAACAGCTGTTGACAGAGCAGATGAAAATGAAGTAGAAATGGGCAAGAAGATGTTGCGGGGTGTTAATTTGGCCGGAAAGAAGGCGGCGAGTGGGGGAAGTTGAGGGTGTAAAGTAGTAAGGCCGCGAAATAAGGGCTCAGCCCTCAGTCCTTGAACCACCATGACTCAACCCTCGGCCGGCAAGTCCGTAGCCCGGAGACAACCCGAAGAATACTGCGTGATTCAGAAGCTCCGTCGGTCGCCACCTCCGTACCGAAGTTCTGGTCGCCGGGCGCCGTGGGGAGTGCGCGTAAAACGAGAGAGAGAAAGAGACTGAAAGAGGAGATAAGGGAATGTTCAGTTACAACGCAACTTGTTATTAACTTATTATATTATTATTATACTCTGTTACTTTACAAAAAAATAATAAATTATTAATTATCCACTTATATATTTTTACTCCTTAACGAAAGAGGGTAGTTTATTTATTTAAAAATAAAAAAAAATAAGTGGAGAAAAAAAATGAGTGGAAAAAAATAAAAAGAATGTATTTTAGAAATCCGTTTTTTAATAATAATTTATTAGAAAAACGTATTTTAATTATATGTTTTATATTTAAAAAATATTTATTTAAAAAAATATTTATTTCCTTTTAAGAATTTAAAAACGGTTATATTTTATGAATTGAAAACGGATTTAACGAATTCGTTTTTAAAAATCACAAAAATCAATAAATTTAGGGTTTTGAAAAACGGGTTCAATTAATCCGTTTTACAAAATCCTAAATTGATTGAATTTGGGGGTTTTGAAAAACGGATTAATTAAATCCGTTTTTATTTTAATAAATAAATTTAAAAAAAATTAAACCGTATTATATAATTACATTTTTAATTAACTAAAAAAATATTGAAAAACGTATTATTATTATACGTTTTTAAATGAAAAATTTTTAAAAAAAATTATTAAAAACGTATTTATTAAATACGTTTTACAATTAAATGGCCCCAAAAAACGTATTTCATAAATCCGTTTTTCAATTAAATAAATCCACTTCCCTTCTCTTCTTCCCCGTTTCATGCGCGACTCTGTTCAGGAAAATTCGAGCGAGAGCGAGAGGGAGTCGGGAAAAAAAAAAAACTCGATCCAATCGCCACTCCAACGTGAATCGACAACAACAACACGAACCTCATTTTCGATTAAATCATTCGCACGAGGTATATTAGCTTATCTCAACTTTTTACATTGTTTGGAGTGGTTTGAAAATTAGTAATTGTGGATGGTGTTTGAATGTGGTGGTGTTTGAAGATTGTGGATTGTTAATTGTTTATGGATTATGTATGTATCTTGTATTGGAGATTATAATTTTGTTATAAATTGTCAATTGGGCTTAGGGTTTTTTGAAATTAGGGTTAGAATTAGGGTTTTGGAGGATTAATCGATTGGGAATATTTTTTTGGTTTTTTCGTTAGGGTAAAAAGATCGGTTTAAAGAATAATTGAATTTTTTGGGTGTTGGACATCATGTGTTGTTGTAATTGGGAAGAATTGAAAGTTTTTGTTTGCAACAGGTACAAATGGCGTATTGTGGTCCGTATTTTGTTAATTTGTATTGGCGATTTGCGAGGGAACAGTTAAGAGATTTTGTTTCATTTAAGGATAGTCCGAATGGTTCATTTGTTATTACGGGGAGGATATCATATGAACAATTGGTACAGATGATTAATGAAAATTGTCGGTTTGGAGAAGGTTGGACAATTCAAGCGATTACTTTAATGTTTCGTCAACGCGATGGTTCGTGGACTGCCGGAAGACTCGATAACCCTAGTGCTCTTCAGTGAATTTATGCATATGAACCTATGTCCATTGTGTATTTGCATTTATCGTTGGAGGCAATTACACCGGTCACACAATTTGAGGATTTTACTCCTTATTACGGGGGAATGGATGATGGCACGTCGACTTCTCATCTACGTAATTTTGGAGAAGGGACAAGCTCACCAATTAGAGAAAGGGCAAATGAGGACGGGGAAGAAAGTGACGAAGAGTTCGCACTCGGTGAAGATGATTTCACAGACGAGACCTCAGAAACCGAATCAGATAGATCGGTGAATGAGGAGAGTGAAGCCTAGTTCATTGAAGAAGAATTCCCCTTTCCTAGTGGTGGTCGGTACGTATACTGCGAGATGGGTGAATGGGACCCATCCAGGATAGATGCGGACGAGTATGCTATTCCACGCTGGAATGGCGACATTGAGACCATATGTTTGGGTATGGTTTTTCGGAGCAAGCAAGAAGCCCAAATGGCTTTAACGAGTTGGAACGTCGATAGATTGCGGGAGATTCGGGTAAATGATTCAAATCAAAAGTCATACAAAGTGGTCTGCAGATCTAGTGGAGATCCGCCTTGTGTGTGGAAGGCTCGGGTGACTAAGTCCAGGCGGGTTCATGAAATGTGGGAACTAACTGAATGGGCTGATAAACACACTTGTATGCAAGCGATCGAGAGAAATGACCACAGAAATGTAACAGCCCAAATGATTTCAAATCTCATTCGTAATAAGATTCGAAAGAAAGTGGAGTACGGCGTCGACATGATCCAGGCTGATGTGAAACAATGCTGGAAAGTGGATGTCAGCTACAAGAAGTCATGGCACGGAAGGAGAAAAGCCATCGAGAGTGTATATGGCACTTGGGAATCGAACTTTGCAGAACTCCCTCAGTAAGCAAAAATTAATTGCAAATATATGTGTTGTTTGCCTGTCGCTATTTTTATCTATTTATTATGAAACTGTTTTGTAATGTGTAGGTATTTTGCCGCGCTTCAAAGAACATAAGTAATATATATTTCTGTTTTTTATTTTATTATTATTATTATTATGATTATTATTATTATTATTATTATTATTATTATTATTATTATTATTATTATTTGTTTGTGTTTCATTTCATTCTAATTGAATTTGAATTTAATTTTCAGGCTACCGTCATGGAGGGAGCTTATCACACGTTATCAAATGTTGACCACCTCTTTCATACACTCCCTCCAGAGGTGCAGGCCGCAGTCGTACAGGCCAAGAGCCTTCTCTACAGTTCTATGACTGTCGGTGTAATGCCCCGTTAATTTATGGACAATTTAGGGATTATTTATTATTAATAATTATTATTATTATTATTATTATTATTATATAATATAATTATTATGTGTATTTTATATACAAATATTATCTGCATTTGATTTTAAATTTTCGCCACGTAGAACCAAGCCTCGAATAATTTTCGAGTCGAGCCCGAGAGGAACCGACCGATTTTGAGTATTTTTTTCGTAGCTGGGATCTTTCTTTTCTCTAGCCCAAATTGATAAACCTTTTTGGCCCATCTGTAGTTTGGATATATAGACCATGTTATTTTTTTATAAGGGCCCAACAGATAAGTTAATATCTGTTCCTTTTTCTTTCCGCGACCCAGAACAGATAAAATCCTATCTGATCGCTTGAACTGGCCCGACCGAGTCTCAAGGAGATCTCTCCTCCAACAGACGCAAAATCCTTCTCTTCCTCTCGCTATATCAGGAGTTGTGGAGTTAAGTTCTCAGTTCAAAATCACTCTCCTCATATTTTTCCTCATTTCCCGTCGTTGCACCCACATATCACCACCTTCATCACTTTCGCTCATCATCCTCGCCGCTGCGTTTTCCGGCGAGCTCCCGGCGTGAGCGACCACCACGTGAAACCTGCTACCTCCGGCGACAGCCATTAATTCTGGTGACCTTTCATCCATCTCGCAACTTGTTCAGCAATGATTCCGTCCGACCAGACCCTGGGTCACCTCGCCACATCAAGCGAGTCGGGAGTTGCAAGCAGTCGGGCCCTGTTCGAATTTCCGTTAAGAGCCATTGTTTCCGGCGGTCTCTCTGGTCAGCTCCGTTCGTTACGTTTCAGCATTCCGTTTGCTGTCCAGTCGTTGTACGCCATCGACGAGCATCCCCGACCTTTGAACGACCAACCTCTCCCTTGTACACGTGAACAGAGAACACGCTCTCTCTTTTCCTCTCCATAACCTCCGACGACCCGAGCAGCAACGCCGACGATTCACGCGAGCAGGCCCTCCACGAACAACCGCTCGACATTTTCCGGCGAGACTTTCCCTCCCGACGTGAACCAGTAGCCGTGAAGTTTTTTTTTTCCGGCGAGTTCCGTCGCAAGCTCTCTTCCTCCGGCGAGATCTATTCAGTCCGGCGGACCCTCCTCCGCCACGCAGCAGCTACGCCGTGACCCGAGCCCTTGTCCGGCGAGCCTGCTCCTCCCCTCCTTCGTGAGACGAAGCGAAGCCGTCGAGCTCGTTCGCCGAGAAGCAGCCCAGCCTTCCTTTCTCGTTCCCTTCTGAGATTCTTCGAGATCGGTAACGAGACTCGATCTCTCGCTAAATTATCTACGTGTTATATTCGTGTAGAGATTTTATGTGTATATTCGAATATCGTCCCGTATCATGTGATTTGACATGGTTTAATTGGCCTCGTCCGTTTATGTTGAACTCTATGTTATTGCAGTGATTAGTCGAGTATATGCTCGTTTATTCCTGTTTTTGGGAGAACCACATGAAATATATGCGTGTTTTGATAAGAGGCGAAGTTCATTTTTGAATGCGTGATTTATTCGAAAAATACTGCCCTGTTACGATGCGATTATGACCCTCTGAAACTGGTTATTTGAAATTATGGTCTTCATGTGAAATGTAGTATGTTCGGTTTGGTAAACCTGAGCTTTGGAATTTCTTGATTCCGAGTTATATCGAATAAGTTGTGATTTTTACAAAAATGTTGCGCGTCCAGTTTTCCTGTTACCCGGCAGCATGTCTATAATTAAAATATGGTCTGTTTATCGTGTCGTAATGTGCTCGTATGAATTTACACTCTTCATGAAAGTTATAGGTCTGTTTCTTGCCTTTCAAATGAGATACATTTCATGTTGATACGTGCTCTGTAGCGCGTTCTAGGTTGTAAACACTGAAGTGCTGTCCATATCACATGTGAGTTTTTGAAAGATTTGTTGAACCAAATGTTTTGTGTTTAAAGTCATTGATAATGTGATTATTTGCCAATATGATCTTCAGAAAAGTTGTAGATATTTGAGATATCTATCATGTGGTTTTTGAATTTCAATAAAAACATGCCTGTAGCTCCGGTTAGAGAGTAATTACTGAGGGCTGATCAAGTGCATTACCCCAGTTTTGGACTGTGACTCGTTTTTGAATGTTTGTTGATTTATCACCTACTAAATGGCCTTATTTGCTTTCGGTGTCTTCATAAGAATTGTAGATTCATATCTTAGGATTCTAATGAAACTTGATCCATGATCACATGAGTTGTGTGTTGAGA